TGGCACTGCAAAGCCTGGGATGTCGGGGGAGGGAGTGGGTCTAGCCAGTGCTGGGCATGGGCTGTTCATTGGAAGTGTCTTGTCCCTGCATTTCATCTGGACTCCAGATACCTCTGGGAGGATCTGGGTTCCTCTCATTCCTACTCTCACTTCACTTTGGACCCAACAGACCAGGGAGGATAGGTTGTCAGGGAGGACTGAAGGAGACATGGACTTTCTTAGCCCAGTGTCGTGACAAGAGCAAGCACTTGGTGGATGGCAGTGGTTGCCGCTGGGTTTTTTTCCTTGTTTTTTTTATTGACACATTCTTACACCTTTTCTAAGTGAACATACAGTTCCGTATTCTTTAGTATGTTCACAAAGATGCACAATGAACACCACTAACTCTACCACATTTTTGTTACCTCAAAACAAATGTACCTATTTGCTGTCACTTCCTGTTCCCTCCTTCCCCCAGCCCATCTACCACTAATCCTCTTTTTATCTCTGGATTTGCCTGTTCTGGACATTTCAGATCAACGGAATCTCATGATGTGTGGTCTTTTGTGGCTGGCTACTTCTGCTTAGCGTGGTGTTTTCAAGGTTTGTGTTGTAGCACGTATCGGTACTTTATTCCTTTTTATGGCTGCCTAATATTATTCCCTTGTAGATATACCACATTTTGTCTCTTCCTCAGTTGGTAGACTTCTGGGCTCTTGCCACTTTTTGACTACAATGAATAGTGCCACTGTACTCATAGACAGGCTTTTGTGGGTGTGAGTTTCTATTCTCTTGGACTTAAGGAGTTCAGTTGCTGGGTCACATGGTGGCACTCTGTGTTTAACTGTTTGAGACCCTACCAGTTCGTTCCTACATTGCTGCACCGTTTTACATTCACACCAGCAATGTGTGAGGGTTTGAATTTTTCCACATCCTCAAGAGCACTTGTTCTGTATTTTTATGATCATCCTGCTAGTAGGTGTGAAATGATATCTCATCATGGCTTTAATTGCAGTTCCCTGCTGACTGGTGATGCTGAGCTACTTATGTACTTTTTGTGTCCTACTTTGAGAGCCATCTATTCACATCCTTTGCCCCTCCCCCCTTTTTTTGAGTCAGGGTCTCACTCTCCCCCAGGCTGGAGTACAGTGGCATGATTATGGCTCACCACAGCCTCGACTTGCTGGGCTCAGGTGACCTTCCTGCCTCAGCTTCCTACGTAGCTGGTACTATAGGCACATATCACCACACCTTGCTAACTTTAAAAAAATTTTTTTTAGATACAAGGTCTCGCTATATGTTGCCTGGGCTGGTCTCAGACTCCTGGGCTCAAGCAATCCTCCCACCTTGGCTTCCCAAAGTACTGATTGCAGACCACTACACCCATCTTCTCTGGCCATTTTTTAAAAGTTTTATTATTATTATTATTATTATTATTATCATCTAACTGTTAACAATGCTTTATATAATTTGGATACTAGACCCTTATCCAATATATGATGTGCAGATATTTCTTCTGTTCTGTCAGTTGTCTTTTTACTTTCTTTATAGTGTGCCCTTTGAAGCACAGACGTGTTTAATTTTGATGATGTCCTATTTAATCTATTTTTACTTTGGTTGCTTTTGCTTTTTGTGTCATATATAAGAAGTCATTGTCTAATCCAATGTCATGAAGATACCCACCTGTTTCATCTAAGAGTTTTGTAGATTTAGCTCTTATAATCAGATCATGATCAATTTTGAGTTAATTTTATATATGATGTGTGGTGTAGGGGTCCATTTTTATTCTTTGGCGTGTGATTATCCAGTTGCTCTAGCATCATTTGTTGAAAAGAATATCCTTTCCCCTCTTAGACTGTCTTGTGACCCTTGTAGAAAATCAACTGAGTATAGATGTGTGCATTACTTTCTGGATTCTCGATTCTATTCCATTTATCTTTATGTCTGTCCTTACACTGATACCACATTGTCTCAATCACTGTATCTTTGTAGTAGTAAGTTTTGAAATCAGGAAGTATCAGTCCTTTAAATTTGTTCTTTCTTTTCAAGGTGTTTTGGCTATTCTGGGTCCCTTGCATTTCCCTAAGAATTTTAGGATCACCTTGTCAATTCCTGCAAGAAGAAGGCTGGAGTTACAGGTCTATAGGTCAGTTTGGGAATACTGCCAGCTTACAATATGAAATCACCTGTTCATGAACATAGTGTATTTTTCCATTTATTGAAATCTTTCATTTCTTTCAGTGACATTTTATAGTTTTCAGTGTTTTAAGTGTTGCACATGTTTGCTAAATTTATTCCTAAGTATTTTATCCTTTTTGATGTTTTTATAAGTGGAATTGTTTTCTTAATGTCATGATTAGATCTAATAGTTTTGGGGGGACTTCTGTGTGGATTCCTTAGAATTTCCTATATAAGATTCTGTTATCTGCAAATAGAGATAGTTTTACTTCTTCCGTTCCAATTGGATGCTTTTCATCTTGCTTTTCTTACCTGATGTCCTTGGCTGGAACCTCTAATACAATGCTAAAAAGAAGAGGCAAGAACAGATATCTTTATCTTGTTCCTGATCTTAGGGGAAGTATCTAGCCTTCACTGGTTATGTTATCATCTTCAAGTGTGGATTTTTGTAGATTCCTTTATGAGGTTGAGGAAATTCTCTTGTATTCCTAATGTGTTGAATGTTTTTTTTACCATGAAAGAGCATTAGCTTTTGTCAAATGCTTTTTCTGCATCTATTGAGACAGTCATGTAGTTTTTGTCCTTTAAATATGGTATGTTGCCTTGGTTGATTTCTGTATGTTGACACTATTGTTTTGAGGTTTCCCAGAAAGCAGAGCAGCCAGGGACCTCAGTGGGTCTCTTTTCTATTAGGACAGCCGTGGTCAACAGCAGGGATGTGGGAGTCAGACTGCCCAGGTGGGAGACCCCAGCCGTGGAACTCTATGCAGTGCATGCCACCTCTGTGGCCCAGTGCCTTCATCTATAAGAGGATGGTGACAGCAGTGCTTTACCCTTGGGTGCTTATGAGGGTACGTGAGTTACTGTGTAGCTATGCACAGAACAAGTGCAGTTTCTTGAGATGTTGGCTGTCAGTGCTGGTATTATATAGAGTTTGGATGGGCTGGGGTCGGGGGGCCAGTTGAGGGGGCCTTGAAATCTGAAAGCCAGACTGATCCACCTTCTCTGAAAATTCAGGCAGTGGGAGTCTGGCCGTTCTTGCAGGAGGTGGCCAGTTTGACCCCAGCAGCCTCTGAGTCCTCCTGGGAGGGGACTGAGCCAAGAGTCAGCCACCATACATGGGCCATCTCAAGCACTTACTACAGAGACTTTCAGTGTGCTCTAGGGAGCATCACACCCATGGACCAGGCTGTAGGGGCTGTATGTTTGCTGCAGGGAGCCTTTTGCTCAGACTGCTTCTTTGCTCATAGCCGTGGATGGGTGACCAGCCTCCCCAGCATTCCTCCCTGGGCCCTGCCTCTGGGTGGGGTGTAGAGATGGAGCCTTATGAGTAACAGTTTAATGCTGAGTACTAGGACCTGTGCCAGTCCTGCCACCTACCTCGACTCTCCTGACCTCCCACTCCTGGGCTACCATGTAAGCTTGGCTCCTCTCCTGGCTGTGCCACTATGTGACCCTGGGGCCTCCGCTGTATGTGCAGACACCACCAGGGTGCATTGGGGATGGGATAGGCCTGCAAGAGGACTTGCCACACTGACCGCCAGGGCACGGCACATGCGGGCTCTAGACCAACCTCCTGGGACCCCAAAGAAACTGCAACCCCTCAGGTCTCATGCCTGTTTGGAATTAGGGTGGGGGGTAAGGGAGATTAAAAAATGCTTTTATTGTACCCTGTGTAATTCTTGGCATTTGTTCTTATGAGATAAACGGGGCTGTTCTTTCTTGGTGTCGTGTACTCATCTTCTAGCCTGCCAGGTAGCTGTAGACTCTTGGGACGAGCTGCCGTGCTTGTTTACTTTTGGCTTGGTGTCCAAGTATGTGGGTGGCAGCCCCCCCACCCCACTAACGCTCAGCCCTCCCAGCCCCTGTGCCCAGAAACAGAAGGTGGTCCCACCTCCTGGTGAGCCTGTGGCCTTATCAGGGAAGGGGCTGTGATAAAAGGCAGTAATAACAAGCCAGTAATTTCACCGTCAGTGGAGGGATTCAGAACATGTTTTGTTATCCCACAAAAACTGGTTTCACCCTCACTCAGTGCCTGGCACAGAGCGCCATGCCGAACAAGCAGCTCAGCTTCCCAAAATGCAGACTCACCAGTAGAATCCACTGGATGCCGGAGAGGGTAGCCCCTGCCAGAGCCTGGGTCTTCAAATGCCGGGGTGTGGTGTGACAGGCGAGGAGGTATTGGCAGGACCAGGGCAGGGCCTGGCTGGGGTGTGGTGGCAGGAGAGTTGGGTGCACGGCTTGGCAGAGCTGCACTGGGAGTGCCTCGTGATTATCTGCATTATGTAGTAGACGGGGACAAGACTGAGTCCACTCAAGGGAGGCCTGTGTCACTTTGGGCAAATCCTTCATCTCTCTGACCTCATTTTTTGAACCGTAGAGGGTGACGTCTACAAAGCCCTCAGTACACTACTAGACTGTGGTGTTCCTGCGATTGATGTTAAGCAGATACATGAGATGGACAAAGGATCAAACCAGAACAGTGGTCACAGTTTTTTAAGTTAAAATTTAGGTTACAAAGTGGTGTCTTGTGAAGCACCCTGTGGATGTCCACATGCCCAAAAGAAAAGCTGAGGTGGTAGTAATTGGTAATATCTGTGAACACGTGTATTTTTTTACTCTTCTGTGCTCTTAAGATTTCACAGTCACCACACATGAGTTTTGTAGTTATAGAAATATCACTGGAAAATGTAATTAAAGGATATGCCGTGGTTGTTGTTCACATACATGAGCACACGGGACTGCAGAGTTTGGGGACAGTCGGGCCAGGGGCACAGGGACATTGAGGGTGTCCTGGGCTGGGCCATTGCAGAACGTGCTGACTGGACTTCTCTGTGCCCTAGATGACAGAATCTGCTCACCACCCTTCATGGAGCTCACAAGCCTGTGTGGGGACGACACCGTGAGGCTTCTGGAGCAGAATGGCCTGGCTTTCCCGTTCAGTATGTACCATATGCTTCCCGGGCAGGGGCCATGCTATGGACCACTGTGGGGGTGGGGTGGGGCTGACAGTCCCCAGTAGGCACCATACGCTCCACAGATAGGGGCCACACTGTGGGCCACTGGCAGGTGGTGGGGTTGACAGGCCCCTGCATGTACCACAAGCTCCACAGGCAGGGGCTGTGCTGTGGGCCACCAGGGTAGGAGGTATGGAATTGACAGTCCCCTCTGGGGTTCAGTTCACATGAGGCTGGACACAGGCCTTGGCTACTGAGGAAGGTGTGGTGCTGGGTCCCCCCGCCCCCACACCATGGATGTGGTCCTGTGGAGCTGGCCTGAGGTGATCTCTGGCCTGGAGGCATCTGTCCACATCACCTTGAGTACAAAGACCAGGCGCTCAGAGTCAGTGAGTCCCGCCCTCCCACCTGCCTCATCCTACCATGTGCTGCAGGGGTCCTGAGGACTCCTTTCCAGAGGTGCCAAGACCACTGTGTCTGCCAGGCTGGGCCTCATGGGTGAATGGCCTCACTAATCTCTCTCCTTTTCTCTTTCTCACCATAGTTTGCAAAACCAGAGTGGCTCACGGCACCAACTCTCATGAGGTGAGTGAAAGAAGACTTGGCTGTCTACTCCTCTACCCCCATCCTTGAGCTCACTATGCCTTATGGGACCCTGCTGGGTGCTGGATGCTGAGCTCCACACTGTCACTGCCCGATCCTGCTGTTGGTCCCGGCTTCCTGGCAGGCAGTCTCCTTCCATTCCCTGGGTGCCAAAGGAATCAAGCAGAAGTTCTGTGACTTTGTGTGGTCTTCAACTTTACCCCCATTCCTGTGCTGTCTCCAAGGCCAGGAAGATGTACTAGACCTACCTGCCTCCTTTGGAGCTTGCCTTAGTCAGCTTGGGCAGCCATAACAAAGCACTGTACACTGGGTGGCTTATACACATTCTGGAGGCTGAAAGGCCCAGATCGAGGTGCCAGCAGGGTTAGTTTCTGGTGAGGGCTCTCTCTCTGGCTTGTAGATGACCATCTCCTCACTGGTCCTAATACAACCTCTTTGTGCGGAGGCAGAAAGAAGAGCTAACTCCCTGGTCTCTTCTCATGCAGGCACTGATCCTGTGTGAGGGCCTGTCCTCCAGCCTTGGTCCAACCTCATCACCTCTGTGAACTATCAGCAGACTTGGTTGTGTGAACTTTGAGAGATATGTTAGTCCCTGATGGAGCCTGTGGGGACATACTCTAGTTTGGCCCACCCCTGCCTTCTGTCCTTTTGCTCATCTGTGTCATCACCACTAAGGGCCATTTGTGGCAGGCCCAGGTGAGGGTCGTCAGCCCCAGAAGCTTCTGCCACTACCCACAAGCTCTGCTAAGTTGAGGGGGCTAGGGAGCATAGGTGGAACACCTTGATTTGCCACCATTGTTCATGACTTGCTCTGAAGATGTTTCCAGCCTCACCTTGAGGCCAGAGAGACAGATGCAAAGAGGTTAGTCCTGGACCAGTGAGGAGACAGAGTCCCCAGGGAGAGACAGCAAGCGTGTGAGTCTCCCAGGGCGAGAACACTAGATGGCTGCATGAGGCCTCGTGCTCCCAGACCTGGGTCATTGTCTCAGCACAGCCTAGCCCAGGACCATCTGGTCTCAGTGGGCCCCATGGAGAAAGCCTGATCCTGTGGGCCCCATGGAGAAAGCCTGAATGTCAGAAACGTTCCCCGTGAGCCATGACCATGTGGAAGACTCCCAGCAGTGTCCTTTGGTGGGCCTAGTTGTGTTCTTCCTCCCTGGCATGTGTTCACAGAGAAGTGTGTCCATGGAACCCACCACAGGCCTGTCTGTGGAAGGAATGTGGGCACAGCCCATCTAGGGCATTACCTGCTGCAAGGCCAGTTGTCTCCAGGGTAAGGAGCCTCTGGAGTTTTGCGGTGCTGGCATTCCCGTCCGTGGGCTGCCTGGGACCCTCCAGGGTGTGCTCTGTGGCTAGATCAGGGAGAAGCAGGAAGGCTCAGACAGCAGCATTGTCTTCCCAGCACCCACACTGCCCAGCCCTGGCCTGCCTCTCCACACCCCCTCCCTCGCCACCAGTCCCACACACCTGAGATTGGATCAGAGCAGGTCAGCCCTGGGAGAGAGTGCTTCTGTGAGTTGCACAGGGCAAGTGCCACACCTCGGATTGGATCAGAGCTGGTCAGCCTGGAGAGAGAGTACTTCTGTGAGTTGCAAGGGGCAAGTCCCACAGACCTGGGATTGGATCAGAGCTGGTCAGCCCAGGGAGAGAGTACTTCTGTGACTTGCAGGGCACTTGAGTTCCACACACCTGGCCCCAGCTCTGGTGCTACATGTGGCCTTTTGTGTGACTCTAGGCAAGCCTGCCCACATTAGTGTTGTAAGAGTTGGGAGTTGCTGTGTGGCTGCTGTGGGGCCTGCCTGGGGCATGCTGGGCCTTTGCAGGAGCATATGACTTCAGGTCCAGGTGAGCCCTTCAGGAGTCCCCTGATAGGCCTCGGGGAGTCTCATCCCTACATGTGGGGTCAGCACCCTTGGAGAGGCTATTGTCACCATTCCAGCTGTCTGGCTCTAAGATGTACATGTGGGCACCCTCGCCCCTCGCCCCTGCACAAGGTGCTCCCTGGTTTACTGCCTGTGAAGTGTGGACACCAGTCTGTGCACTTCGAGACTCCGGGGGTGGTGTGTGTGTGGCAGGACTCTGGCAAGAGTGACTTCCACAGGACACAAAGATCTTAGGGGTGCATGTTGTCACATGCCGTGAGGGTGGACAGCATCTCACAACTGATGGGTGTTGGCCACATCCCAGGCTGCCCACACCCAACCCCTGTATTGCCCAGCCCCTAGCTCAGCAAGCCTGCATGGGACTGCCACCGCTCTGCTTCCCAGCTATACCCACAAAGCTGCTCAGCTTTGTTTTGTGGTTGAGCCAGTCCATGCATACTTGTTTGCTCCATGGTGGAATCTCCCTTTTTTTAAAAAATAAAAACCCCTGCTTAGATAAAAGCCTGCCAAAGCCATGACTTCACAGATGAGGAGAGCAGAGTGCGAACAGTTTGAATGCCAGCCTGAGCTCCAAGCAGGTATCCTGGGCTCCAGAGGCGCCACGTTCTTTCCCATCCTCTGTGCAAGCTTCTTGCATTCTTGCCAGAGGCCAAGGAGACATTCACTGCCCCACCCCCACACATGCAGTGTATGTCTCATGTTGCCCAGGTCTCTCCTGTGTCCCGTCCAGCTGCACTCGAGGCACACAGGACTGGCTTTCCTTGGCAGTCACCATGACGGCTGTCAGCCACTGCAGGCGCCAGCTGTCCAGGTACTGTCATCCTGCTCAGCAGCCCAGGCACCTGGTAGCTCTTCCCGGCATCCAGGTGAGGGTTTAGCTATGACCCTGGATAGAGTTGGCCAAGGGCCCACCCCTCCATCTCGTCATCCCAAGAGCAGGCCCCAGCGGGCCTCAGCTTGGCCTCAGCTGGAACTGAGAGGCTTTTTGCAGCTGCCCCTCTGCCCTCCTCCCTCAGCCCCCTGTCAGATCCTCCTGCAGAGACCTTTGTTCTCAAGGAGCTGGGGCCAGGAACACAAAGGCATGTTCCTGTTGGGGCTCCATGTGGAAGGACCAGGTTGGGTTGACATGATTCCATCCTGGGCTTGTTCACTTTCTAGCAGGTCACTGAACTTCTCAGGGCCTCCGTTTCCTCATCTATAAAAGCGTCATATACCCACCTCAGAGGTGCTACATGGGGATGAGGACAACCCTGCTTGCCATGGCTCTCAACTGGAGAAGGCCCTTGCCATAGTACCAGTTTTGACCCAAGATTTCCGGACTCCTGAGCCTCCATCTTATGCTTTCTGCTACCCCCTCCCCCCGAGTCTTTTTGAAGGATCCTTTAGGATGTCATAAGGAATGAGTAGCACACAATGTGGGATCCTGTTCTTGTACCACTTGGTGAATAGCGCTCTTGGGAGTTGTGTACTGCATACCCAGCTCAACCCTCCGTGGCAGGCTGAATGGATGCAGGTTCCCAAACCCTGCAGCAGAAGTGAACTGACCCCGGGTGTTCTTGAGGCCCACTCTACTCACTTTGGCTTGAGACTTTTCTTGTGGTGTCCTCAGACCACAGGGCCACGGGTGGGCCTTGTTGGAAGAGTCCTGGATGCTGACGTGCTCCTGTGTCAGAAGACTCTGACAGAGCCTTTGGCCCCTGTCTCCCCAGATGGCTATCGTGTTCAACCAGGAGGGCCTGAATGCAATACGGCCACCCTGCGTGGTCCAGAATTTCATCAACCACAACGCTGTCCTGTACAAGGTATTTGTGGTTGGCGAGTCCTACACCGTGGTCCAGCGTCCCTCACTCAAGAACTTCTCTGCGGGCACATCAGGTAACCACTCCTCACACCATCGTGGGCTGTGCCACACCCCGGGCCCAGCTGGGTTGTGTGCTCTCCCAGCGACCCTGTGTTCTCTTGGGTGGAAGAGGTGATCCAAAAGTGTAAAGTTGTCTACCGGATGATGAGGCAGTCCTGGAGAACTGGGAGGTTCCTATTTTCCCAGCCCGCTGGAGGGACTCTGTCACCTGAACCACTACAGACTCCAGGAAGCTTCCAGAAGTTCTCTTTCCCCAAGATGCTTCCTGGGGACCTGCACAGTAATATGGTGGAATTTGCATGGCCAACTAGATGTTGATGACCTTTCAGGGAAGGGAGGGGAGACCAAAGTGCCCCTTCCCTCTCCAGCCTTCCCTGTGCCCATCCTGTGTCCTCATGGTCGCATGACACCAGTGCTTTCTGCTCAGGCAGCATGCCCTTTGAATAGCTGATGGATCTCAAGGACCTCCTAGCCACAGCTGTGGCAGGTCAGGAGTGGCTGGGGGATGCCCATCACACTTCCCTCTCAGGATGGTGATCCTTGGTGTCCCTCAGGTGTCATGTGGATGTTCCTTATCTGGTGCTGCTGTTATGGATCCTGAGCCACAGCCCTCTGGGGAGCATCCCAGGACCCTCCCACACCAAGGGGTGTTCCTTTCAGAGCCGCTCACCTCCCTCCAGGCCTGACACCATGAACCTTGACCATTCCAAAAACTTACACTAAGCTAAGGATTTGCTGGCACTGGGGCTACTCTGGAGAGTGCCTTCTCAGCTTCTGAAGGCACCTCTGAGGTGGGTTCTGGGAGCCTTTGGAGCAGCACTGTCTTGAAGTCCACACAGCTTTCCAGAACTCCTGTGCTGCCTCCCCTCCAGCTGAGCAGACAGATGTGTCTCTTGGAATCCCCCTTCCTAGGACTGCTCCCACCTATACCGCGCAGCCCTTCCTGAAGGCAGCTCGGCATCCTTGTCACCCCTCAACTCTTCTTCCCGGTGCCTTGCCTTTCTGTTAATGGATGTGTACGTGTCCATCCCCTCCAGAGCACTGCTGCCTTCCCTCTGGACAGGGTTCTCCACCCAAGGCTGCATTTCCAAGTTTCGGGACATCCCCGTCCTGACGCTGGTCCCAGTCCCACCCACCAGGATGATGGAAGAACCTGGAATCATATGTGACTTTACAGCAAGCGGCATTCTTCCAAGTAATGAGTCAGGCGAGGCTGCCATTTCTAAAAGTCCTGTTATTTTCCTGATTTCAAAAAAGCACTAATGATCTAAGTCTATGGGAAATACTTGAAGTGGAAGGCAGGGATATCTTATATCAACTCCTTTCTTTTTCTTTTTTTACTCAAATCACACCATCTCTAAAAGAAGCTTATATAACATCAGGTCTCCTTGTGTATCCACACAGAAGTGTGTGGTTGGATTTTGTTTTTTCCTTTTTCTCCTGGTTACACAATGTTGCGCCCATTTCTGTCTTGGTGCTGGGGCCATTGAGTGAGAGTACAGTTCCTGCCTATCTTTGGTAAGGATCCTTGCCTGTGTCTCCTCTCACACAGACCAAGGCCGAGTCATAGGGAGGCGCATGGGCTAAAGAGCCATGTCTGGTATCCTGTTGCCTGAGACCACCCCAAGGCTGCTTCTGTGTTCCTGTCTCTGGGGCACCATGGTGGGAACCAGTGTGGGCTATGAACTTTTCACACGTGTTCTCCTTCCAGATAAGAAGCAAATGCAACAGCAGCCCTTGAAACTGGGCCTGTTGAGAGAGGGCCTGGGATTTGGCTTATTTCCAGCACCCTGTCCCAGCTTTCTGGCTCCTGTGGCCCAGTGCGTCAGGTCCCCATGTTTCCTTGTCCATGCATGGGGTGGGGTGAGGGGGCTCCTTGAGCAGGATTTTCTGGACCTGGGATGAAGGCAGGAATGCAGATCTGGACTCCCCTGCAGGTGCCTCACTTTTTGGGTACTCTCTGGTTTTGTGTATGTTAGCATGTCTAGAGTCAGTTGTGTCTCGTGGCCAAGGTGCCCTGCAGATGCTCTGGCTGGAGCTGAAGTCAGGCTGCGGCTTGTGCTGGCCGCAGGAGCATCAGCGTTTCTGCCCGTGGCTCATGTTCCTGGGGAGTGTTCCCATCCTCCACTTGTGCCAGGGTAGAGAAGGGCAGGACTCCCTGCTCCCCCTTCCTGCATGGTGAGTTCATGTCTCTTTTCCCTTTACCTGCGCGCATGGCACTTGGGCCCCCGGGGCACACACACAGCAGGGTTAGCAGACTTCTCTGCAAAGGCTAGAGCATAATTGTTTCCAGCTCTGTTACAGTATTTAATGCTGCCATTGAAGCACAAAAGCAGCTGCAGGTGGCGTGTAAGTGATGGGTCGGCTGTGTTTCAATAAACTTTATTTTCAAATGCCATGGCTGGCCTGCGGGCTTTCGTTTGCTGATCTCCATGCTGAAGCCATTTACAGAGATGGGACGTGCCTGTCCCCACCTCCCAGGAGAGATGTGAGATGGAGTAAATGTGACTAAAGACAGCATGGTTGTGGCTCACAATTGTGCTGCAAAATAGCTGGGATATTTGAGGGCTAATCATATCAATGGTGACTCAGCATTCATTGAACCTGCCACTGCCTCGCCCTATGCAAGGTGCCAGTGTCTAGCCAGAGTCTAGGTAGTAGCCCCACCTCCTGGGGTCTAGCCAGGGGCTAGATGAATAGCAGCCCGCTCTCCCCAGGGTCCAGGAGATGGATATCCAGGAGATGGATAGCAGCCCCGCCACCTGGGGTCCAACCAGGGGTTAAATGGATAGCAGCTTCCCCCACCCCACCCTCCCCTGATGCCTGAGACAAGGACCCCAGGGGAAGGGAAGGGGTCCTAGGAATCACCGGGCAAGGGGAGCCAGTGGCCTCTGCAGAGGTGCTGCTTGTTTGGCAGCACCATCTACGACTGGGACATGCCTGTCCCCACCTCCCACCTCTGCAAGAGACGTGAGCTGGAGCAAATGAAGCTGGAGGCAGCGGGTCCATGGCTCACAGCTGTGCTGCTGAGTGGCTGGGGTATTTGGGAGCTAATCATAGAGTTTATTCTCCTTTTAAACCTGTTTTTCTCTCCGTAAACTGAGAACAAGGACACACACTGCTCCTCCCTTGCATTCCCTCCCGTGCGGAACATCGGTGGTGGTTCTCCACCTGTTACAGGTTTCTTGGGACTAATCTGGGAACAGACTGTGTGGCCCCAGTCTAGGGCGCTACCATGAACAAGGGCCTCGCACTGAGCTCCGGGAGCAATGGCTTGACCAGGTCAGTTGGAAAGCTGGTGTCTCAGAGCTGGGTACAGCCTCCTATAGATTCCTGGGTGACAGGCAGCAGCTGGAGGCTGCTCCCACTCCCTTGGACCTCTGTGCAGGCTGTACTCAGAGTGGAGCTGAGGACATCTCATGTGGCCTCCTCCCTGGCCAGCCCCTTTGCATGCCTTCTTCCTCACCCCACTCCCTGGCCCACCTATGGCCCTTCCTGGTCCCAGCCCGGCATCCATGAGTTACCCTCGCAGGTCCTACAGACCTCCTAGCCTCCTGAACTTTGTCATATCTGCCTGCTCTTGGTGGTTCCTGCTCCCTCCAGGCCTCCTGCTGCTCTGCCATTGCTCTTAGAGACCCGCAGGGGTCCACATGGGATGGTGCCCTGAGCTCAGGGGCTGGGCCAGGCTGGGCTACAGGAAAAGAAGGTGGGCAGGACCTGTGGAAGGCCAGAGTGCCCACCCTGCTCGGCCCCCGCCTCTGGCCACAGGCTCTGCGCCCTGCTGTCCTCAGTGACTCCCTCTCCTTGTCTGTCAGCGCCTGAGAGTGAAGTTCGGTGGGGCTGCTTAGCACCTGTCTCGCAGGGTGTTTATTCTCCCTGGGCCTCTCCCTAGGACCGTCTCTTGTGCCCCCCATCTGAACTGGCTCTGGTCCGAGCAGCAGCAGGACTCTCAGGTGCAGCAGGGCAGCTGTGGGCCACTGTGCCTACTAGTGGGAAGGATGCCAGTTACATCCCAGCACCACCTGCTCATTCTCCCCCTGAGTACTTCCTCATCGAGTGGTGCCGCACCTTGAGTCCTGAGCTGATGAATGTCACTAGCGACCAGAGCAGGTGCCCCATTGGCCTGGCCCCTGGCACGCAGCAGCATCACTCAGTCTGCATCCCGGAGACACGAACCACAACACCCTACCCTGCAAGGACTCAAGGAGGGGCTCCTGGGGCCACCGGGGGAGTCGTGGCTCCAGCCAGTCCCATGCCAGTCTTGGGGAGTCATGGGATGGTGACAGCCTTTGCCAGACCTTGGCTGGGGCTCATGGTGTCACATGCTTGCGCTTCCTAGTGCTTGAGAACATGTTTCTAACCCACTGGCTGATGTCTCCTCAGAGTGACCTTGGCTTATGGTTCAAGGACATTTCTACTCTGGGATGGATCAACGCTCTATCTACTTACACTTTCAGTGTTCTTGGGATTGGTCTGCCTCTCCAGGTCCCCAGTGGCCCTAGGGGAATGGGTGTGGCAGGAGACAGGCTGGAGCCGGAATCATGGGGCAGAGGGTTGTGCCAGCTTCCAGTGCCAAACAGATTATTCTTTATGCTTTCTTGGATGGATCCTATGGAAGCTTGTGTTCTGATCTTCTATTTTTTTCCCTCAGTTATTTGGAAACAGCAGAGTCCTTTGTATTTAAGAGCTCACGTGTCAGTGGCAGCCCATTTGTGTTTCTGTTTTGTGTTCCCTAAGAGAGCCCATGGCTGGGAGGGGTTGGGAGCACTAGATTCGAAGACGTTGGCGGATCGTTTTACCCGGCCTCTCAGTCTATGACCTCTGACCTTTGGGTGTGCGGTGTGTGGTCACTCAGCTCCTCCCTCAGTACCCTTGGGTGATGTAGCCCAGATACACTTGGGAATGGGCCTTGGGTATTAGGAGAACCAGGTGTGACACTGTGACATGTAGTACAGGTGGGTCCGGGAGGCCAATCATTTCCATATGTAAGGAGAAGGTGGAACGGAGGCCCTGGGTAGGCACACATCCATCCTTGGGGTGGGGGTGCCCTTCCATCCTCAGGGCAGAAATGCCTGTCCATCCTTGGACAGGAGCATCTGTTCATCCTCAGGACAGAACGCATGTCCATCCTTAAGACAGAAACATGTGTCCATCCCCAGGATGGGAATACCCATCCATTCTTTGGGTGGAGCACCCACCCACTGGGGCTCAGGACCTGCTAGCCAGGCCACGTGGTGAAAGCCTGGGGTGATGCTGTCCCCTGGTATGGGCACTGGCATCACGTCCCTGGCCGTGGGGTCTGACTGGTCCTTCTTGTCCTTCACTTTCAGATCGTGAGTCCATCTTCTTCAACAGCCATAATGTGTCAAAGCCGGAGTCGTCATCAGTCCTGACTGAGGTACATCCCTCCTCCGTGGCCCTTGAGGGTGCTATTGGCCTCGGAGCCCCTGGCCGAGCGTTCCAGCAGGGCAGGGTAGGGAGACCTCTGCCCCATACCAGGGCCCAGAGGGATTCCTAGACCCCTTCTCCTCCACATGCCCTGGGCCCTGTGCCCTGTGCCAATAGCCCTCACTTGTGCCCAGTACCTGGGAGGTGAGGCATGTACCTGGGCATGGGTGGAGTTCACCTGAAAGGCTTTCTGACTCCTCCCATTGCGAGGGTTAGGAGAGCTGCTTTCTAATCTGCCATTTTCGTGCTTTTTAATGGGGATAGAGGCAGCAGCATCTCAGTTCTCTGTCTTTCCTGGTCCAAGTGCATTCAGTGACGTTCATTGTGAGCCCATCGTGCACTTTTACAGTCTCAGTGGTTCAGGAGCTGCCAGCATGTGTCCCAGCACTGTGGGTGGTGGCAGGTATTGTGACTGGTGTTCATGTCACTGTGGACAATCCTACCAGGCCTCACAACAGAGACTGATAGGAGACTGATGTTCAGGGAGTCTCAGGAGCTTCTCTAAGTTCACAAGGCTTTTCACACAGGACCAGGGCTGGGCTGTGACCCCAGATCAGTCTGATTCTCAAGCTGGTTATTCCAAGAATTCAGACCTTATTACCTCACCAGTGGTTCTCCAGCAACTGCTCCCAAAGCAGGCGGTTAGGAATGGCTTGGGCCTCCCTCTGTCATCTCCCCATAAGTTAGCAAGTCAGTGGCCACTTCCCTACCTGGGAGCCCTCTACCAGGACTCCTGGGTGGACCCCACCGACGAGAGCTACAGCAGCACCCCCTCCAGCCTCAGTCCCATGTTCCCTGTCGGAGACGTGCTGCCAGACAGGGCAGCCTTCCTCCTTGAAGGGAGCCAGCTGTGTGCTGAGGATTATGCAGAGCACAAGGTGGGACCTGGAGAGATCCCCTCTCAAGGTGTGACAGAAGTCCCTCGGATCAAGTTGGGGACACTTTGGGAACAACGGGCTGTAAGGCAGATCCTTGCAGTGCCTCGCTGTGCCCAGTAGAAGATATAAATAGGTGTCCTGTGCAGTAAGGGTTTCTTCAAACTTCAGACTCTTTAGGGCTTCTTCCCCTGCAAGGCTTCTCAGAGCCTGGGGCAGCCTGCCTGATGGAGGGAAGTCAGCATCCACAGACTTCCCCAGAAGCTGTCCCTGCTGGTGCCCTCACGTGGTGCCGGGCTGACAGCCACTGGGTCTGGAACTTTGTGCTGGAGGGACACTGTGAGCTGTAAGCCGACAACCCACCCAGAAGGCACCTTTTTGGATGACCACCTGTTAAATGCTCAGCCTGTTTCCTCATCTGTAAAACAGGAAGGGGCTGGTCCTTCTCTCTACCTCTGAAGTCTGCAGTCGTCTCCTCCCCTCAGCACGGGGCTGCTGTTCAGGGACCCGCCAGTACAATCGTCTTTTGAAGGTGGAAAAGGAACTGCAGTCAGGGCCACCATTCCCACTGAGGATGTGGGCCAGACAGCCAGCTTCGTTCCCAGGCCCAGGAGCACGCTTCTTGCTCCTCTGCCTGTCCCTGCCCACCTGGGGCCGTCCTCCCCGTACCTCAACCTCCCTGGGAGTCTTGTGCAAGGGCCCTTCCTCTGGTCTTAAAGTCTCGCCTTCCTCCCAGGCTGGGCACTCCCAAGGGTGCACCCAGGCCCACCCAGCTTTCAGGTCCCCAAACACCTTTGCTTTTCGGAAACTGGTGTAATGTGTCTAATAGGAGCACAGACTCCAACGGTGCTGCCTGGGGTCTCACCCAAGCTCAGGCCAGTCACAACTCCCCTGAGCCTCAGAGGGTGTTAGTGGGACTCAGTGAGTTACTGGGTGAGAGATGCTCACCCAGTGCCTAGTGTGTAGTATGTGCTCAGGGCCAGCTGTGCTGGGAGCTCAGGGCCCACTGAACAATGTCTCACTCCTCTGTCACCTTCTGGCTTTCCAGAACGTCATTGCAGTGGGTGTGCTCAGGACTCACAGGCAGGACTCCTTGCCTTTATCTTGTTCTAGAATGGCAGTTTGGTTTTCAATTATCAAATGGCTTCTGAAGGATTTGTGAGATTCCTTAGGTGAACTGAGAGGGTGCTTTTATAACCAGCTTACCTCAAGCCTCTGTAATGGCGCTGCAACCTCACCCTGGCCCCGCACTATGAGCCTGAAGCATCCTTCCTAGTCTTCACCAGAATCTTCTAGGGTGACCAAGATCATTTTTTTTTTCAGTTAGAATCTCACTCTGTTGCCCAGGCTGGAGTACAGTTGCATGCTCACAGCCACCCCAGCTTGACCCGCTGGGCTCAGGTGATCCTTCCACCTCAGCCTTCTAATTAGCTGGAATTATAGGTGTATGCTACCATGCCCAGCTAATGTTTTATTTATTGTAGAGATGAGGTCTCGCCAAGTTACCCAGACTGGTCTCGAACCCGTGGGCTCACATAATCCTCTTACCTCGGCATCCCAAAGTGGCTTAAACCTTACCCAGCCCAAGATCTTAGTATCCCGTTTATGGGGTGAGAAGAAGTTCAGAAGGGTTGCAGATGACTCAGGATGTGCCATAGGCAGTGGGCAGCACCAAGGTGGCCACCAGACTCTCTGACTAAGCCTCTGTCCCTCCCTGGTGAGAGGGACTTGGGAGGCTGGGCAGTGCTAAGGGACAAATGCCCAGCACAGCCAGGATACCACTGTCCCAGGGGTGTCTTGGCCGAGTCCCTGTTTCCCCAGACGCTCTGCCAATGAGTTGGGGTTGTGAGAGGAGCAGCCTGCCTGTTACATGGCAGCAGGCAGTGTAGATACAGAGCGTGAATGTGCCTAGGCAGGTGTGTCCAGATGATCCCGGTGTCCAGTACTTTCCAATCCCTACCTCGAGCTCATTCCCCAACATTATCACCAACCTAAAAGGACCCTGGGTCTGTTGGCCCCAACCTAGGCCACAATTGCGGATCTGATTTTCTCTCTGTGGTCTCCCTGTTCTGGATCTTTCATGGAAGTGGAATCCCTTGTTTTGAATCTTTTATGGAAGCGGAATCCCCTGTTGCGGATCCTTCACGGAAGCGGAATCCCCTGTTGCGGATCCTTCACGGAAGCGGAATCCCCTGTTCCGGATCCTTCACGGAAGCGGAATCCCCTGTTCCAGATCCTTCATGGAAACAGATTCCCCTGTTCCAGATCCTTCACGGAAGCGGAATCCCCTGTTCCGGATCTTTCACAGAAGCAAAATTCCATTTTTGATCTTTAATGAAAATGGAATCCTAAAGTGCATGACTTGGTATCCAGGTCCTTTCACTCAGCTTGATGTTTCCAAGGTTCATCTACATCGTACCACATGTCAGGACTTCATTCCTTTTAGTGGTTAAACAGTTTCCCTTGAGTTTCCTATTCATCTCCTGTTGATGGGCATATGGGTTGTTCCCCTGTGTCTGTGTGAATAGTGCGGCAGGGTCTGTATGAGTCCATGTTTCAGCCTTGGGCATACTCCTGGGAGCAGAATTGCTGGGTCAGGAAGTCGTTCTGGGTTTAACTTTTGACCCAGCTTCACTTCTTTCTTGCATGGATCAGCACCCCTTCCCCTTTGGCCCCTGAGTCTACAACCCCCAGAACTCTAGCACATATTGAGCACCTGGTGTGAGCCCCATTTTGGTCAACTTATATGACACACTGCAGTTCTGCCCTGGGTGTAGCACCCTCCAGACAGGCGTGTGCCATCTCCACTGTGCCAATGACCACATTATTCTTCTTGGCAAGTCTGGGACAGAAGCTGTATTGGACTCATTTTACAGATAAGCAAACTGACACACCTGCCAAGTGCTCTTCCCTAAGTCCACAGAGCTAGACTTCATTGTCAGGATTAGAACCCAAATCTCCCTGACTCCAGAATCCCTCCCAGTGCAACACTTGCTTCACTGCAGGCTCTGACTGGGGGCCAGGCAGAGCCATGAAGTCCTGTGTGCTGTCCCAGGCCCACTGTGCCCAAATGGAGAATGAGCAGTGTGGGGGCAATCCCAGGCTAGAAGGATGCCCACAGGCTGGGACAGCCTGACCAGCATGGGGAGCTTTGCCAGAAACTGACCTTGGAGTCCTGAAGTCAGGCAGGACCCACCAAGCAGCCCTTTGGGGAGACCCACATTGCATGGGGTGTGAGTTTGGAGACACAGCAGTGGGCCGCTGGTTGGGAATGGCCCCAGAGTCTCAACCTCCCACCCTGGACACGCTCTTCCTTGTGGGCAAGTGGGGCTGAGCAGAACTCCCCACCTCTGCATCATGGCCTCCACACTGTTGCCTCCGCTGTGCTTCTCTCCTCCTCCAACCCCCACACCAAGGCCCAGGTCCTCCTGCCATCAAGGCCCAACTGCAGTGCTATGAACCATTACTTCTGTGTCTGCAACGAGTTCCCACCCCCTCCTCCCTGCTAAGAGGCCTGGGTAGGTCCAAATCAGCCCCATGCATCTGAGCTCTGCGGCCTGAATCAGCCCTAGCCCTCTCTTAGCTTGTTTCCCATGTCACATGCCGACATTGACTCCCACCTTCCAGCAAGTAAGTCTGGTGCCTGCCCAGCCCTTGATGGGACTTAGCCACTGTGGATCTGTCCTGGAGCATAGTAGGGCCTTGTGACTTCTTGCAAGAGGCCTCTGTGAGGTGCACCACCCTTCCCCTACTCACTCTGAAGCTTGACTTCCCTGTGTGTCACAGCTGGACAAGATCGAGGGTGTGTTTGCACGGCCAAGTGATGAGGTCATCCGGGAGCTCTTGCGGGCGCTGCGGCAGGCACTGGGCGTGTCCCTCTTTGGAATCGACATCATCATCAACAACCAGACGGGACAGCATGCCATCATCGACATCAATGCCTTCCCAGGTGAGCAGTGGATGGGTCCCCTATGGCTCGGCCCTGGGCTTGCCATCTAGATGGGTGTCCTCAGGCAAGGGGCAGGTGGACCTGGAAGCTAGTCTGTCCCTCACTGTGGAGTCTGGGCAGGTGCAGCCCCTATGAAGCCTTGCCCCTTGTGAAATGGGGGTCACAGGGTGTGGCCAGGTGTGAGAGAAACCTCCACCCTGCCAGGGCCTGCCTCACATGGGTATTGCACCTCCTCTCTCGGTCCTTTGAGATTGAGGAGACAGAGGACCTTGGAGGGAATCACCCACAATTACGAGGGGAAACTGAGGCCCCTGGAGGAGAAGACTCCAGGACCCCATAGCACATGGGTGGCAGAGCCAGAGGCTCCCATGTTCCTGCTGCCTCTGCTGAGCTGCAGTGCCAGGAACAGACCTAAGGATCCCCGTGCAAACGTCCCTATTCTTGCGGGCCCTCGGAACCTTGGCTCTCAGCTCAGCAAGAGCCCCGACATAGCATGAGAGTAGGAGTGACATCACAACCACACTTCACCCAGACACCAAGGCTCAGAGGAACCCACTGACCCCCTCCATCACTCAGGCATTGTGGGTCCCCGCCGGTGCCAACATGAGAGTAGCCCGAGCACCATGGCCAGTCCTATTTGGGAGGAGGTAAAGGACACAGCAGTGGCCGAGGCTCCTCTATGAGGTGGTGACTCCGCAAAAGGAAGGCGTCCCCACTGCAGGTGGAGCAGGGGGCCTGGGCCACAGTACCCTGTGACTGCATCTGGGGTGCAGGACAGGGTTGGGGGCCATGTGTGGCCAGTGGAGAATGATGACTGTCCCCCAGGCGAGGTGGGGAACAGCTGTGGGTGGCCTGTGTTCATGATGGATGGTTAGGCCTATCATCTGTTTGCAACCTCCCCCATGTCACAGGGAGCAGCCAGGAGTTCACTGGAGCTGGGCTTACTCCACAGGGATGAGGGGAATGGGAGGGGCAGGGGGATGGGGGAATGATGGGAGTGGGATGAAGGGGATGGGGGGATGAGGAGGACAGATGATGGGGATGGGGGATGATGGGAATGAGGAAGATGGGATGGGGTGAAGGGAATTGGGGTTAGAAGCATGATGGGGGATGAGGGGATGATGGGGGGATGAGGGAGGTGGAGGAATTAGGAGGATGTTGGGGATGGGGGTAGGGAGGTTGATGGGGGCTGAGGAGAATGATGAGGTGATGGAATGGGAGGATGAGGATAATGGGGCTGAGGAGGAGGATGGGGATAGAGTATAAGGAGAATGATGGAATGGTGGGGTGGAGGTGAGGATGGGGATGGAGGGATTAGGAGGATAGTGGGGATGGGGGATAGGGAGGATGATGAGGATGGGGGCATGAGGGGGTGAGGACTCCAGGGATAATAGAGATGTGAGGAGGAGGGGGAGGAGGACTCCGGGGATAAGGAGGAGGGGGGAGTTATGGGGGTAAGGGGGATGGAGGGATGAGGGGGTGAAGGGAGTGAACAGGATGAATGGGATGAGGGAAATGAGGAATGAGGAGATTGAAGGGGATAAGGGGGATGGAATGAGGGAGACGGGGGGTGAGGAGGATGAAGGGGATTGGGTTGAGGGATGAGGAAGATGAAGAGGATGGAGGAGGATGGGAGATGAGGGAGATGATGGCTCCGGGGATGAGGGGATGGGGTACCAGGGGGATGGAGTGTAAGGAGGAAGGCTCAGATTGTTGAGCCACGGGAGCTGCACACAAGGGTGTAGGGCTGGCACAGACAAGGGCAGAGTCAGCATGGGAGGGACAGGAGGGATGGGTGGCAGGGGCTGTTGGAAAGGAAGCTCTAGAAGGAAGGAAGAGATGGGAGGTAGGGCCAGTGGTCGGCCCTTCCCAACACAAACACCTGGATGCCTGAGGGCCCAAGGGTGATCTGGGGTGCAGAGAAAGGACCCCCATGAGCCAGCCTGGACAAGGAGGCTTCTGCAAGAGAAGTCGAAAGGAGGCCCACCCAGGTGGCCAGGCCAAAGTAGACTGAGGCTGAACCCAGCAGAGCCTGTGAAGGAAGGCCATGAAGGGAGCATGGGCCCAGGGAGTATAGACCAGCCTAGGGGGAGTGCAGCTGACCTGGGGTTGAGGGGATGTAGGTCATCCTAGGAGGAGCACAGTTGGCCTGAGGTAGGAGGGTAGTGTGTGGGTTAGCCCAGGGGGCACAGGTTGGCCTAGGGGGCCTGCAGTCAGCCTGGGGTGGGGAGGGAGATGCTGTGGTGCTGGCCTCACCTGTGAGAGGGGCGGGCATGCTGGGCCCTGGGAGGAACAGCAATAGCAGCCGCCGTATTGATGACACCGTGAGCTGGCTCCCTGAGGGCTGAACCGCACTGTCCTCACAGCAGTGGTGTGCAAAGAGCTTCTAGGATTCCCTCTTACACAGAGGACATGAGGCTGGGGCTAAGTCATGCTTCCAGTGTCATGCAGTGTCAGGTGGAACCTAGAGGGTCACCCCCTGCACCAGCCATGGGTTCCAAGCAGGCTCCACCTTTACAACCTGGGATGGGATGATGAACCACCTCAATTTTCATTCTCAGTGCTTTGTGTCAGGGAGAGCAGCAGGTAGCTGCTGGGGATGACTTCCTTGCCTGGTATTGACCTGATGGCAAAACCTGGCCAAATCTCTCCCCAGGTTCCACAACTGCAACTAGGGGCTCATTCCTGGGGTAACTGACATCCTGGTCCTATGGGGGGCACCCAAGATGGGGTGAAACAACACAGGCAGGACTGAGGTCCTGGCTCAGACTTGGGCTCTGCTTCTCAGGATCTCTGTGACACAGGGCTCTTACCTCAATGTCCTCATAAGATGGGGCTGCGGGGACATGGTGAGTCAAGGCCTGAACCCCCAGTTCGTGGCCGGGGCTTCCTGTGTGCTGTGAGCATTGCCACCCTTCTACACTGGGGCTAGCGGTTGTACCTCCTCACGGGTGGCATGGAGAGAGCGATGTCATGGAGAGTAGGTGAGTGGTGTGGTGGGAATTGTGCAGGCCAGCATGGGGGCACCACATGACAGCTGTCATTCCCAGCCACAGTCCCTTGAGCCACCACTGAGGCTGTTTGCTGAACAGACATGGGCATGTGCAGGTGTGGCTGTGCTGTCTGCCTGGCCCGTGCAGCGCCAGCTTTTTCATAGGAGTTGGCACACAGTGCCACTTCCAGACTTCCTTCCTGGCCCTGCTGGTCAACGGCAGCGCATGTTGTCTGGAAAGGTGCCACTGTGTCTCAGTGGGCATCCCCCTGTGTTGAATCCCTCTTGGAGCCATTTGCTGGGCATTAGCACCATGCACACCTTGACCTGAAGCTCACTCAGGGGCTCCATGGTGGCCAAAGTTGGTGTCCTTCCACCCCCAGCAGGTGCCAGGGTTCATGTTCTGGAGACCCAGTCCATCCTTGTAGAAGGCAGAGAGTGTTGGCATACAGTCTCATTGTGACCTAGGCCTTGGGTGACACCCAGCATCTCTGTCCCTTGACTTTGAACCTCAAAGTCTGGGGTTCACAGGGATCCCCACAGGCGTTCAGGGTGAAAGGGAAGTAACCTGAACTCAGCACCACTGCTGCAGGACAGGTGCACCCACATCCAACCCCATTCGTGGCTTGCAGCAGCCTCCACCCAGGAGGGAGGCCATGTTCTCAGTCTGCAGACAGGAGGCAGAGGCCTAGCATGGAAGCGGCTCTGGCACCTAGGTCTGAAGCCAAACTCGGTGGGCCCAGGGAGTTGAGGGTATTTATGGCTTGAAGCATGGCACCAGCTTGGGCGTGGTAACCTCCCATCAGGCCACCCCATATGCCACACTGGGGGTGAGTAAGACAGTGGATTTGTGACTGAGAGGGATGGGCTCTCAGGGTATTTCATCAGCTCCAGGCTGCAGCCCAAAGTCAGGCGCCAGACCAGGGTCGCATGCATCCAGTTGGTGTCCAGACCATGTCTCCCTTCGGCCCCTGCATCCACCGAGCCCGTATGGATGGGATGCTGAGGAGGCCTCCTCCACCCCAGGAGCCTGTGAGTACCGGCCCCCTGCTGTTCCCTGGCTGATGCCCTGTACTGTCTGTCTCTCCGTCCCACCACAGGCTACGAGGGTGTGAGTGGGTTCTTCACAGACCTCCTGAACCATATCGCCACCATCCTGCAGTGCCAGAGCACCACCGCAGGGGATGCAGCCCTGCCTAAGCACAGCAGGCTCCCGGCTGAGCAGGCTCCTGGCTCTGCGGGTGAGCGGACACGCGGCGCCAGCCCCAGCCGCTGTGGCTCGATGGGCCAAGAGGCACCCTGGAAGGCCGAGGCCGACACAGGCGGCACTGCCAAGCTGCCGCACCAGAGACTCGGCTGCACCGCCGGTGTGTCACCCAGCTTCCAACAGCACTGCGTGGCCTCCCTGACCACCAAGGCCTCCTCTCAGTAGCCTCGGAGCCAGGACCCAGCAGGGCGCGGGGACACCGCAGGCTGCAGCGCCGACAGTGATGCTACTACTAAGAGTTCCCAGTGATCTCGTTCTTGTTTTAATTTTTAACCTGATTTTCTGAGTCCTGATCTAAATGAAGGTGGGAAGATGGAGAAGCGTGCCACATGTCCGCTTCCTGGCCTCCACCCACTCCCACCATGCAGAGCTCTTGACTGGGCTCACACATGCTTTCTCAACACTAGGTCTGAACGAGAGGAGGCGTGTGCATGTGGTTGCCCTGCAGTGTGAATGCACGGCTATCTGCTGGTCCCACAGCCTCCGGTGATCCCAAAGGGAGCTGGTCGTTGGCGTTGGTAGCCGGCAGCACTGAATGGTTTCCCTTCTCTGCAAGCCTCCCACTTCTGGACCTGCTCTTTCCTGGTCTCCTTCCCACTAGTCGCCTCCAAGACTTGTGAGCCACACCCTGTCAGTGTGCAACCGACCACCCAAGCCAGCTCCTGCGGGAGTTCCCTGTGGGGATCTGGGCTACAGCTCATGGAAGGGAAGGAAAGAAACTTCCAGGCCCCAGACACACATGCCCCTTTGCCCAGCACAGAGCTTCCTTCCCCAGCCAGCACTGCCACTCGCATGAACCTGGCAGGGAGGCTGCCTGGCTGGAGCCCTGGGCCGACCCCACCCAGGCTCACCCTGTCCCAGTCAAGGATTCGCGCTGCCATTTTGGTTTGGGGCAAATCAATTCCAAAAATCTCCTTTCCTCTAGAGAGCTGACTTGATGCCCTAACCCCTGGGGTGCTGAGAAGTCACCCAGGCGAGGACAGGTGCATAGCCTCTGCCTGACCCCATGGGACTTGGAGCTTCTTCCCAGTGGGGGAGGCCACCCACAGGGTTCTCCCTGCTCACACCCATTGGGCTGCCCTAGCCCCGTGGGCCTGACTGCCTCTCCTATTCTCCTGGTGCCCCAAGCACTGAGCCAGCGGGTGCCAGGAGCTCTCCTCAGACTTGCATCATGTGGCAGCAGGCAGCCCCATGCTCCAGTCTGAACCCAGGGCCCAGGCTAGCTGCCCACTCTGAGAGAGAAGGGCTGAGGGCGACATGAACCATAGTGAGATACGTGGGCTCTGAGGATGGCTTTGTGTCTCAAGATGCCAGTTCACTTTGAAAAAGAGAAAAAGGCTGTCCCTGTCCTCCAGTGAGACAGGACACAGACAGAGCTGGGTCAGGATTCCTTCAGCCTGGCCCAGTGGGGCATGGGGCGCCCCCCTGAGGGAGAGGGACTGGACCTGGCAGGGGCAGGAACCATTGGAACCACCTGGCTCTTTTGGAGTCCAAGAGCCCAGCGACTAACCATGTTTACACGACTTGAGTGTTGAACCCTGATTAATGTCTGTATGCCGCCCTTCCGAGTCCCCCCAGCCCCAGGGAAGCAGGAACATGTGGCCGGCCTCTTGCACTGCTTGTCTCCAAAATAAACTACTGAAATCAAACTGCATCTCACACGTGTCCACCAGGTGTTGCTCCAGATTATTGTGTTGTTCCTTCAGTACTTAAGGGAAGTTTAACAACAGATGAGCCTCCTAGAAGTAAGTTCCAACTCCCATCTGAGGGAGTGCTGTGTGACTTCTGCTGTGTCCTCTTTCCAGACAACTATGACCTCTCCGGGGTCATGTGTGTGGGTGTCCATGTCCAGCTCTGGTGATGTGCCGGGCAGTTCACATTCCAGGAGTGGAACCCAAGGGGTGGAATTTTGCCTCACAGGCTGTGAGGCAGTAGGGGCAGAGCTGGCCACACCCAGGGCCCGGCCAGGCTGTGGACAGTGCCTAGCAACAAGGGAGCCTGGGCAGGGAGGGCGACTGGACAGTGAGGAGATGTTGGTGTCTCTGGCGTGGCCCCTACAAGCAGAGCAAGAAAACTGTTCCCTCCACGCCCCCTGGGGTACTCTGCCCAGTGATCCCAGGATGCATCCCTGGAGTTGGTTTCCCCCAAGGCTGCCTTGTCTCTGGCCTTGGCATTTCTGTGTCAGGGAAAGACCCACTGAAACCAGCCCAACCTGGAGCCTCCTCCCCAGAGCAGGATAGTGCTGCCCCCCACCAGGGAGTCGCTGAGCATCTAGGCCAGTGGGAAGGACTCACTGGACACGAATGTGGTATGGGTGTATGTACCAGCACCTAGAGGTGGCCCTGCAGGCATTGTGGGGGTTGGGTTTCTTGTCTCCAAGTTGGTCAGTGCATGGCTCCCTGGTCCTGCAGCCCTTGTCCTGGTGGTCTGTGGACAGGGCTGGAGGGCTCCAGGAACAAGTGGCAGGGCCACCCCTGGGCTGAGGCCCTGGGCAGCTTCAGAGGGCCACCTGCACCATCTGCATGGTACCCTGAAGCCAAGGCCTTGGCTGTGGTTCTGCCTGAGGGTGCTTTGCTTGTATAATGGTATGAGGGTGCAGGCGTGACCCCATCCTGAAAACCAGGATCATTCATTCTAGAGTGTGTGCCCTGGGTGTCAGGAAGTGATCGGGTTTGCCACATGGGTCAGAGGGGCTGGTCCTGCAGTCACTGAGCATCATCTGCTGGGTCCAACCCCACCAAAGCCCCGAAGGGTTATATGGGACTTCCTGTGTGTGGCCTGCCCACATTTTGAATCCTGTCAGTGATGGAAAAGGAACCCAGAAAAGTGTTCCTCTACCCAGAGGGCAGCTGAGTGGCCTGGCATAGGTGGAAGGCCCAGGGGAGCTGTCAGGATTTCAGGGCCACTGAGATTGTCACTCTGAGACCAAGGGGATGGTGTGTCCTTGGCTCTTGGATATTCACCAGCCACTGATCACAGGAGGCCATTGAATGTCTTCCCTGATGTACCCAGGGCAGGGTCTGCCCTGGCTTCTGTTCCCTAGAACCCAACTGCTCACCCATGTACTTCCAGCATCCCTCTTCCTCCTGTGCCATGACTCAAGGGGCCCTGAGAACTTGAGAGACCTTGAGTGGGTACTGGCTTCCCTAGAGGAATATGACCCTACCGGCACAGGTGACCAGGAGGCAGGGAAGAGAACAGCCCCTGACAGAGCCTGGGCCTAGAGCAGGTGACCAGAAGGCAGGAAGGAGCATAACCCCTGACGTAGCCTGGTACTCCAGCAGGTGACCAGGAGGCAAGCTCACCCATCCAAAATCAAAGGATGAACATGAAGATGTGGAGTTTAGCAGAAGCAAAACTTTAGTGACAGTCTTGCAAGATCAGGTGTCTGGTGGTCAAGCATACCCAGAGCAGTTACAGCAAGCAATTTATTCCCTAGTGTGCAGGTCCTTCCCCCAGTTCTTCATTGACTAAGGACCATGGGGTCATAATCTTTCCTGGACATCACCTAAGCAGTTTTTGATTCAAATAAGGTTAAAATAACTACTTGTTATTTGATTGGAAGGTTTCAACTTCCTTATTTCTAAGTAAGTTTAATTTCCCCAAGACATCGTGGCTGTTATCACTTCTCCCTTTGTTCTGTCTTTTAGTCATGCCAGCAATGAATCATTTATTGTTCTTCAATGACCTGACTGTTACCAGCCTCCCTTTGTTTTGTCTTTTAGTCACATCAGCAAACCTTACTCTGTTTTTTGGAATTGCTTCATTTATTATCCTTCACAATTTTCCTCCTCTTTTTTTTTTACTTGATTTATTTTCATTGATTTGTATGACCCTGTTGTTTAAACATGTTGAGTTAATATTGACTTTCTTTTTTATGATTTACCTTTTCATCTAAGAGTAGGAGGTTGTTTTGGGCATAAGTCATGGGCATTTGTTTTTTTATAGCTATTTCTATAAGTCTTTGGGTCAGGCCCCTCATACATGGAGTAACACAGCATCCTAGATAGTTAAAATTCCTGAGACGACTACAAGAGATGTTAAAACAGAGGCAGCCATACCTTTCCATTTTTCAAACCATTCTTCTAACCAGTCTGAAAAAAGGATCATTGATGCCAGAGTTTTCAACCAATTCTTTGGCTAGAGTGGTAAGTTCTTGTAAAGCCTTGGTGATAATACCATTGGGGGCAGTATTATTTGGAATAAAAGTACATTTTTTTTTCCAACATAACACGCACCTTTTTTTTTTTGGCTAGCTACTCTTTGAAGGGCATCTTTAGTATAGTTAATAAACCTTTGTTGATTATAGTAAATACAATTGATCCAATCTATGTTTTTGTTGATGATAGACCATCAAAAAGTGCCAATTCAAATCCTGCAGCTATTTGGTTTCTGGCTTTAAATTCATTAGGAACTTCCCTAGGGACTCCTATTGAGTTAATGTACACATTAGAGTCACGTGACCCCCGTAGGAATCTCTTATTTTTAGGCTGATGCCTAGCTTCTGAACTGAAGCAACATGCCAAGGTGAATGGAATGACCAATTGGCCAAGCACAGTTGGACAGCAACAGGTTACACAAGCTCCTCCCTCCAAAGTACCACCATACATCTCCTCGAGGGATTTGTAAACTCAAGAAGTTGCTGTTGAATTCACCAGAGACATTTAGAACGTGGGTACAAGTCAGCAGTTGTTCCACAGGAGTCATAAAACCTTCCCCTTATCTTGAGAGACATGAGGAGTAAATTGTCATCCCTATGGAAAAGGAGGGGAGTGCCCTCGGGTCTGACCTCTGCCATGCAGGAAAGAGCAGAGACAAGCTCCTACAAGTCTCCTTTCCCCTAGCATCCTTGTCTTGGTATAAGGCAAGCATACAACTCATCCCAATGGGATCTGTGTCTCAGCCAAGAGGGAACAGCACCGTCTGCACTTGTGCCATCCTGCAGTACATGTATAACAGTCATTTTTGTTCAAGGCTAGTATTGAAAAATTGATCCATTTTACCCAGGTGTTGGTGTCTCCATAACCGGTCTCAATTTCTAGAGTATGTCTTAAGTCTTTAATCTTAATTATTTTTACTCTTTTAGGATCATTTGGTTGGTTGAACTGATTTTGTGGACCCAGGGTTGGATCAAGAAAATGTGGGGTTGGATTTGTAACGAATTGGGTTGGATTTGTAACTAATTGGAAAACTAGTTTTCCTAAGAGGTCTCTTCCAGATATGTCTGCCCCTACGGTTGTACATTCAGGGTGGAACCTGTGGATGCTGGTCTATTTCAGCAGCGTTGTTAATGGTGAGGAGTACGGGGTTACATTGCAAGTTCTGGCAGTTGGGTGTGAGGGACCATTTATATATGTGTAATTTGGGTTGTAAATTATTCCATCTCCTAGCATCTCCAAATCGAGTAGCAGCAGTTCAGCCCTGGAGCTGCATGGTCTACCACACATCTCCCCAGCTAGGACAGAGAGGTCCCTGATCACCTGAGATCTGTTCAGGACAGAGATATTTAACTACCTGTGAGAGCTGCCTCTGATTTTCTTTTAGATTTTCACAAGGTAAAACTTGACAATCATCAAACTTTACAGTTAAGGTGTAGCCAACTTAGTTACATTAATTGTTAGTTAAAGAGGGTGAAGACTCAGTAACCTCTACTTTGGAGCTTGACATCTCTCTACTTTTGATGGGAGGAGTGGGAGGAAGGGTAGTATTGGCCTTCTGCCTTAGAATGATACCTTAAAATTTAACAAAATAATTAGTAATACTGTAAACAAAGTCATTTTGTTATTTATAAATTCATAGAACTAACTGAATTTTGTAAACATGAATGTTCACGGAATTCCTTTTACGTATTTCTTTTCACAAACCTTCCACATACCATTTTTGACACATTCATATCATTTTTCAACATGCTTGAACCTTCTATTTTTGTCCTATACTTTCTTGCCTTTAAATAACCAGCCATTTTATTATAGGACAAAAATGTACCATACAAAATCCTTTCTTATACAAAATTATGATGTAAAAACTCAATTCTTTTAAAGCTCAGTTTCCTAAGTAATTAAAATCCTTTCAAGCCATAACCGCAGTTATATCTGGAGAAAAAGTTATAACCAACTTAATCATATACCAAGATGTATTTTATAAATTCTCCTTTGTGAACCTTATCCTTACTTCCACATACCATTGATGACATGCTTGGACTTTCTGTTTTACCCTATATTTCCCTGTTTCCTAATAACCAGTCATTTTTTGTTAGGACAAGATTTTATCATACAAAATCCTTTTGTGTGCAAAATTGTTCTCTTTCCTTTATAACTTTTCTTCCTGAAAATACATCTTTATATGCGTAACTTTCTTTACATCTCTCTCTCCTACTTACTGATTTTGCAACTTCTTTTTTCACAAACTTAAATAATCCCCAGATTACATAAAATAACATAAAAATTTAGTGACAACCTAAGAAACAAGAAATTCTGAACTGTTTGTTAGATGTTTGTATTTTATAGATGAGACCCTTTTTTGTAATTTTAGAAACACTTTTTTATATTATAACTTTTTCTTAATTGGAAGTAACCCAGCCATTTAATGAGCTTCTAAAATAAGATTTTTAAATCACATGAAGAGCTTACCCATAAGCATTGTCTTATTCATATTTCCCTTTATCCATTTATAGCAGTGTGCTTAATTACTTAGAAAACTGAGGTCTTAAACAAGGCTATATTATTTAAAGTTATTTCCTGACTAATTATTTTTAAAACTTTTTTTTTTTTTTTTTTTTTTTACCTTTTTCTTAGTACTGGGATTGTTCTCCCAAAACTTTAACATTTGCCCCAGTGGACTATCCAGGAGAATCCCAAGGGAGTCCTCCTGACTGCCCTTCCCTTTTTCCCTAGGCCTAGCATTTTTGTTTCCCGTTCTTGGTCAGGCTACTGATCCCAGTGTCTGAGTTTTTCCCTGTGTACTCAACCCCCTCACCCGACTGGAGGTTTTTTGCACACATTGGGACCCACTTCGTCTGTCTCTGGCTGTTTCCTTTGTGGGAGAACAGAACTAAGGATGGAGACTCCACACTCGCTTCGTAGCTAGGATACGTCTCAGTCACACACACTCAACCTCCAAGAATTCCCGACCTCCAAGGCAGTACCTATAGTTCAATTTGCCTACCTTGGCTCGTGCACAAGATTACCAGGTCACTGCAGTGCCTGCTTTTTTTTTTTTTTTGTCTCCCCTGTGTAGCTTCCGCTGCCTCCAGAACGATAGTCTTGGGCTTCTCTTCAGTCCCACAAGCAGCCGAGATGCCCACACAGAGTAGGCCACCCAAAATCAGGTGGGACGCATCTCTCCCTCTGCTGGGATCCCCCTTCTGTAGATGCAAAGTATTCTGGATGAGTCCCCAAATTGTGAGAAACAAGCTCACCAGTCCAAAATCAAAGGATGGACACCAAGACGTGGAGTGCAGCAGAAGCAAAACTTGAATGATGGTCTTGCAAGTTCGGATGTCTGTTGGGCAGACACACCCAGAGCAGTTACAGCAAGCAATTTAAGTCCCTGGTGTGCAGATCCTTTCCCCAGTTCCTCACTGACCAAAGACCACGGGGTCACAATCTTTCCCGGACGTCGCCTAAGCAGTTTTGGTTCAGATAAAGTTAAAATAAGTACCCGTTGCTATTTGTTTGGAGAGTTTCGGCTTCCTTCTATGTAAGTTTAATTTCCCCAAGATCATGTGACTGTTACCATGACTCTTTTTGTTCTGTCTTTTGGTCCTGTCAGCAATGAATCATTGTCCTTCAATGATGTGACTGTTACTAGCCTCCCTTTATTTTGTCTTTTGCTCATGTCAGCAAACCTTACTTCGTTTTCTGGAAATAAATTATTTATTGTCCTTCACAGTAGGTAGGAGCACGACCCTGACAGAGCCTGGGCCTCAAGCAGGTGACCAGGAGGCAGAAAGGAGAATGGCCCTGACAGAGCCTGGGCCTGAGTGTGTGACCAGGAGCACAGCTCCTGACAGGACTTGAGACTCGAGCAGGTGACCAGGAGGCAGGGAGGAACATGGCCCTGACAGAGCCTGGGCCTTCCCTGATGCCACAGTCATCTTCCCCCACCCCCTAACCTGAGCCCAGCTCTGAGATGTGGCTGAGTCTTCTCCCAGGTGCCCTGTCCTCATGGTGGAAGTTCTATGCCTCTGTCCCTCCTCTCTGCACAGTCCTTGCCATTGTAGTCTTGGAGTGACCCTCTTTGCTTTGGCCAGGAGAACTGGCCGCACCAGCAACTGGGCTGTGTCAGCTGGGGCCTTTCCCTGTTCCGGCCAGCTGGAGCATCTGGGCCCCTGGGCCTTCTCCTGGTAGGCTTAGAGGGACTGTCCCCTCTATTCCTCCCCTCAATCAGCCCTCAGGGGATTTCACCAGAACATCACATTAGTACCTACATTATGTGTTGTGACAGATGCTGTGCCCCAACCATGTTCTCAAGCAGCTGCTCCAAAATCCCATGCTGATGTGTACTTATGCTCATATGTGTGCATAACACATATGTGTGATTGTATGCACTGCATGTGGAATCATGGCCCAGTCCATTGGATCTTTGGTTTGGTTGCACACTTATACTTTGTGTGACATGGCTGCAGGTGGCCTGTCTTGGGGTGGCCATTTCAGGGAAAGATGTCCCTATGGTTGCACACTTATTCTGTGTGACATGGCTGCAGGTGGCCCGTATTGGGGTGGCCATTTAGGGGACAATGTGTCCCTGCGGTGTCACACTTATTCTATGTGACATGCCTATCTTGGGGTGGGCATTTCAGGGACAGGGTGCTTCCATGATTGCACACTTATTCCGTGACATAGCTGCAGGTGACCTGTCTTTGGGTGGGCATTTCAAGGACAAGGTGCCCCTGTGGTTGGTTGCATACTTACTCTTTTGACATGGCTGCACGTGGCCAATCTTGGGGTGGCCAATTCAGGGAAGCTGCAGTGTCACACTTATTCCATGTGACATGCCCATCTTGGTGTGGGCATTTCAGGGACAGGGTGCTCCCATGGTTGCACACTTATTCCCTGACATAGCTGCAGGTGGCCTATCTTGGGATGTGCAATTCAAGGGTAAGGTGCCCCTGTGGTTGCACAATTACTCTGTGTGACATGGCTGTAGGTGGCCCATATTGGGGTGGCCATTTAAGGGAGAATGTTCTCCCGTAGTTGCATGCTTATTCCATGTGACTTGGCTGCAGGTAGTCTGTCTTGGAGTGGGCATTTCAGGGACAAGGTGTCCCGGTGGTTGCACACTTATTCTGTGACATGGCTGCAGGTGGCCTGTCTTGGGGTGGCCATTTCAGGGAAAGGTATCTCCATGGTTGCACACTTACTCTGTGTAACATGGCTGCAGGGGGCTCGTCTTCCTGTAGGCATTTCAAGGCAAAGGTACCCGTCTGGTTGCACACTTACTCCTTGTGACATGGCTGCAAGTGGCCTGTCTTGGGGTGGGCATATCAGGGACAAGTTGCCCCCATGGTTGTACACTTACTCCAAGAAGTGACCGTTCTTGGGGTGGCCATTTCAAGGAAGCTGCCCCCATGGTTTCACACTTACTATGTGTGACTTGGCTACAAGTGGTTTGTCTCAGGGTGGCCATTTCAAGAACAAGTTGCCTCCATAGTTGCACACTTACTCCGTGTGACATGGCTGCAGGTGGCTCATGTTGGGATGGGCATTTCAGGGACAAGGTACCCCCATGGTTGCACACTAACTCGGTGTGACGTGGTTGCAGGTGGGCTGTATGGAGGTGGCCATTTCAGGGAAAAAGTGCCACCATGGTTGCACATTTACTATGTGTGATGTGGATGCAGGTGGCCTGTCTTGGGGTGGGCATTTCAGGGAATGCTGCCCCTGTGTTTGCACACTTACTCTGTGTGACATGGCTGCAGGTGGCCTGTCTTGGGTGCCATTTCAGGGAGAAGGTGTCCCCATGGTGTCTGTTTTCATTAGTCTTAACTGCAGATGTTTTGGCTTCTCATAGTCTTGTGGAATCTGATTAGTGCTTATTGTTTCTGTAGTTATTTCTGTAGTGTCGTGCCTCTTTGACATTTTATAGTGTCAGCCTCTCAGAGGGTGTCTCCGCTCTGGAGCTAGAGCATCAACAGCAGAGGTCAGTAAGCTTCCCCATAGAGGCTAGATGTGCTGAGACCCTTGGGTCACAGGCATTGTCTGTTGTGTCCTTTGTCTGGTGTTATCTGTGCCCTCTGACTCTCATTACAGTCAGGTGAGGCAGTAGTGAGGGCTGTCCTGTGGTACAAAGGAGGACACTGAGTCCTGCCCAGACTCTCCTGCTGGTCATGGCTACACTGGGGTCAAAGCCTGAGTCTCTACCTGCCAGATCTGCCAAACAGAAACTCGGGAGTGGAGTTCCCCAACCCAGCTCGCACTCAATGTGACTAGACCTGTGATGCCTCTGCCTTCCCTGACCTCACAGGAAGGTGTCACACAGGCTGCCCCAACACGAGGCCTCTGCCTGGAACACACACCTCACCACATGCTCTTACGTGAGGTGTGGAGGCCAAGGACGCCAGCCTGGCACTGCCACCAGGACTTGGCCTGGCCTCGGCCTCCTCCTCTTGGCTCTGGACTCCACTTGTCCCAGGGGTTGTGCTCTGAAACCAGGGCTAATCTCAGCCAAGCCCAGAACGGCCCATGTGTAAGAATTTGGTGAGCAACTGCATGACTGGCGCCAATATCCAACATCACAAATGGCTCCAGGGCACCCTCAGGTCTGACCCGATGTGCAGTCCTGTGCAGTCCCCACGCTTCCGTGTTGTGAGCAGTCCTGCCTGGAACTGTTGAGTCACTTCACCTTCTCTGCCTCGGTTTCCTCATTCTCAAATGGACCTGAGACCAGCGCGCTGGAGTGAACCATGCCACGACATACACGGGAACTGTAGATGCCCATGTTCCCAGCTCAGGCTGGAGGGATGGCAGAATGTGGAGGCTTCACTCTGGGGCCTGCAGCTCAGAGGCCAAGCTGGGAAGTCCAGAGCTGTGGCCATGGCCTGTGACAGGCACTGTGCAGGGCTTTCAGGGCCTCCCCCATCACCCCAGGTGACAGGGGCACATGCTCCATCATAGTGGGATGGCCTAGAAGCAGAGGTGTGTCCCCACCTGGCCCCACCTCTGCATCTCCAGAGAGGAAGGAACCCGGAGGTCCTTTGCCTGTTACTTCACCCCCCCCCCCACGCCCTTCAAGGCAGGTCGGCACGCCCATTTCATAACTGAGGAAGCCGAGGCCCAGAAGTAGAGTCACTTGCACGGATCCCACCGTAGGAAGCAGCCCAGAGAGGTGTCACCCCAGGCAGACTGACCCCTCCCCATCCCGTTGCCCATATCCAGTGCACGCCACCCCACTCTGAGTTGAACAAGAAAATTCAAAGAGAGGAAAGAGCCCAGAACAGATTTATTTTTCCTCAGATACATTTTATACAGAACATATTACAATCAGGAGTTCTCAGTTTTCACCATAGGTTAGCAGCTGTGCAATGTGCCCAGTGGACGTGAAGGTGGGAGGGAACCTTCTAGAAAGCTGCCTGTGTTCAAATATGGAATTACTGTGGCTCCCTGCAGAGCAGAGGGTGTTCCAGGGCAGGAGTCAAGAGCAAGACGGGCACATGGGGTGACGGTGGCCTGGGTGTGGTGGGCAGAGGCTGCATTCCTCCTGGACACTCTGGGCCATCTGGCTGGGATCTGCCAGGGGACAGCAGGGCCAGGGCCCCAGGAGGCCTCATCAGCCACGCCGCAGTGCCTGCAGTTGGTGGGCTACCTTCTCCAGCTCCGCCTCAATGGCTGACAGGCTCTCTAGTTCCTGGTCCTAGGAGAGAGCACAATGTCACGTGGGGGCTGCTAGCCAGCAGCAGGGAGGGCACAGAGCCAGATGGGCTGCTGCCAGCTGTGTGGCCTCAGACACCTGGCTTTGCCTCTCTGAGCCCCAGGGGCCTCATCTGTATCATGGGGACATGATGCCACCCCACTGGGCCACTCCCAGGGTATTTGCGCAAAAGGGGGTTCTACACTGTCCCTGAGGACCACTTATCCAGGCACCCATGCCCTTATGAGCCCCAGCCCAAGCCTGGGCCCTGGGTGATGGCTCTATGCAGGCCAGGCCTGGGTCTCCCCACCTGAGGGGCCATGGGCCTGTGGCAAGTGTTGTGAGTTCCCCCGCAAGTCGACCTGCCGGGGCTCAGCCTTCGTCTTCAGTCCTTATCGTGGGGGCCCCAAGCTCTGGCTGCTGGTATGGTCCAGGGAAGCAGGGACCCTCGTCTGAGTTCTGCTCCATGCCCCAGTCTCCAGAATCCTCCAGACCCCAAAGCTCCGACACCCATAAGAGCACACTGAGCCTCAAGACCTGAGCTCAGGGAAGGCTATATCCTGACCTGGACCTGAGGGGTCATCTTTCTGGGGTCCTTGCAGAATTTATGGCTGCTAAGGGCACCCCAGCCCATGGACACAGACATGGAAGATGACTGACCTTGGAGAAGGACCCCAGGCCCTGTGTTCTGGAGCAGCCTCAGAGCACAAGCTCTGTGGTGCTGCCCTAGGATTCGGGGCCTGGGTTTCTTCTCCATGCCCCTTGGGTGGAGGAGGCCTCACCCCACCCCTTCTGCCAGATTCTGGTTCCTCACCTCTCCAGCCTGTAGTCTAGGGCTCCCTCTGTGTGTGGGGAAGGGAGCAGCGGGGGCCTCTGGCACCCACTTCTCTCCAGCTTCTGTGGGTGGGGTGGGGTGCTCTAGGGTGACCCTTTGTCCTGGGTCCAGGCTGGGGGTGGAGCCAGCAGCTGTGTCCTGGGATCCCCCCTCAGGCTCCCTCTCAAACTGTCGGACCCAGAGAGGGTGGCGGGGGCCACAGAGCAGTCAGGTCCTCTTTTGAGTGGGCAGAGGAGAGGCTCGGGCAAGTGTCAGACCACTGTAGAGTCCCAATTCCCAGCTGGGCACGGAGGCTTGAGGCAGGTACCACGTTACCACCTGCCAGGACACCCAATTCTCCCACCATGGGGCTGGATCCTGCACTCCTGCACCCTGTTCAGCTGGTTTCTTTTTCCTTTTTTTATGAGTGAAAGAAGGAGTTTATTAAGCAACAAAGCTCTCTAGAAAAAGACAGGAACCCCGGAATGGGTTGTCCTCAGCTGGTTTTCGAAGCTCCTGTGTGTTCGAGTTATGAGGATGAGGTGAGCAAAAAGGACTCCACCCCCATGTCATAACTGGCGAGTCACTGAAGCTCAGAGAAGCAGAGTGACCCACCCAAGACCATACAGCCTGGAGGGGTGCATCCACTCCTTACAGGCTTAGGGAGGGCATGCCAGCCTAACCACCTTCTTCCCAGGGGGCAGCCTGTCCCCTCGTGTCTCCCTCCCCATGCCACGCCCTTCCAGCGCTCAGGGCCACAGCTGCCCTGGCCGGGCTCCATGGGTAGCATGCGGCCCTCCCAGGCTCTCGCCACTATGACGGGCATCCCGCTCACATGCCTGCAGAGGCTCCTCGCAGCCCTGAGAATGGAGTCCAGCCTCGCAGCTGCTCCAAGCACCTCTATTCCGTGTCCCCCATGAGCTGGGTGCCTTCTCCCACCCAAGAGCCCCTGTCTGAGCACCTCTCTGGCCCTGCCTCCAAGGCACTGATCCCTCAGGGGGGCTGCCTGCCCCAGCGGGGCCCACATGCAGCCCAGCCCGGGCCTGGTGCCACCCCACACCCACCTCTGGCCTACGGTTGGCGCTGCCCTCCTCTTCCTTCTTCTCCTCCGGGAAGCCGCGGACCTGGACGGGCAGGCCAGCCTCCAGGCTGTCCTCCCGGGAGGACGGCCTCCAGCCTCGTCGCAGCTGCAACCTGGGACCCCGGAGGCCATAGGCCCGGGACCTGAGGGAGAGCTTCATGGCACGGTCAGAGTCATCCTCTTCATCCACCCCCCGCAGCCCCTTCTCGGCGGTCAGCTCTGAGGCCATCTGATCCAGCTTGCTCCAGCGCTTTGCATCCTCCCACTCCTTGGAGATCTGCTCCTCCTCCTGCTCCTGCAGCTGCTTCTCACCCTTCCCACCCTGGAAGAGACCTCCAGGGCCCCCCTCCTGCTCCTCTTGCCGGAGGTGCTCCTGCTTGCCCTTCCCCTCGGGGGGCTGAGCCTCCTCAGCCTCAGCCTTCTGGGCTCCATCCGCCGCCAGGGCCTCCAACTGACCTGGAGCAGGTGGACACGGGCAGGAGAGTGAGGGGGAACCGCCACCTACCGTCCTGCCACCCTAGGCTCTGCTGCAGCTCCGGCCCGGCCCAGCCACCCCAGCAATTCCTCTTGGCAGGAAAAGCCGTCCTGCGGCTGTGTTGGTGAGACCCTTGCAGCTCATAGGGTGGGGTGACCGGAGCCTGCCTCCTCCTCCAGCCGCTCGCCCCAGGAGCCCCTAGTCCAGCGTGGACTGCCTGACAGGGCCCTCGTGAGGCTCTGGGCCAAAACTGATGCTCCACCCGCCTGCTATGCCCCCTCCTGCTCCTGAAGTCCCCCACCCACCCCCATGTAACGCCCTTCTTGCATTCTGGGCTGGGAGGTGTGGGCTGGCGGGAAATACATGGGTTTGGAGTCAGACAGACCTGGGCTGGAACCCCAGCTTCTACCACCAACTAGCTGTGTGGCCTTGGGCAAATTATTTAACCTCTCTGAGCCTCCGTTGGCCATCTGGAAGATAGAGCTACACCTGCCTTTCAAGGATGCTATGAAGATGGATGAGATTATGGATATTCATCCCCTCTTCCAGACACATCTGTTGGGATCTCCATTGCCACACGCACCCTCACCTTTCCGGAGTCCCTTGTAGCCAAGGCTTGGGTGGGGGCCCTCTTCCTCAGGGACAGCAGTCACTCCGGCCTTGGCCTCCTCTGGCTCCTCCTGCTCTGCCGGCTGCCCCGCCTCTGCACTCGGGTCCTTCTCTCTGTCCACCAGGCCCCGGGAAGGGTCCTCCATGGCCCCCGAGGCTTGCAGGCCTGGGTGTTTCTGACTGGGGGCGCTGGTTGTGAGGTGGGTGTTGGTGGCCTCTTGCCCCTGCCCCTGCCCCCCAAGGGCCTGGCTACCCCCCTCGATCTCGGGCTCCTGCCTGGGCTCTGGGATGGCCTGGGGCCCGGCTCCGTCTGTGGCTTCATTCATCGGTGCCTCTTCAGGGTCCTCCCTCTTCTCCACAGCATCTGTGGAGGGTGCCTCGTCTGTCACCTCTGCAGAAACAGGGAGCAAGCTAGACCCGGAGGCCTGGTCACATGCTGGCCTCCGCTGAGGCTCGGACCACACGCCAGCCTCACCAGGGCACTTTCAGCTTTTCATCATTGTCCCCTTTGGCTTCCAGCAAGCCCAGTCAGAGGTCATGATCAGGGCTACCCTCCCTCTCTGCCAAGACTTGATCTCAGCACAACTGGATCACATGCCTCTCTTTAATTCTGCCTCTTAAAACAGACCAAAAATTCATACCTTGAAAATTACCCTACAAGACACAGCTCTGAATGGAACGTTAGACATTCAGCTCAGCTGCTATGTGAGCTTGGGCAAGTGGCTCAACTTCTCTATGGAAGAGGCGCTACGATTGCAGCTTAATTCTCCCCTCCGAGGGGAGAATGGAGTGTCTTTAGTGTCCTATGAAAGTGCTCAGTACCTCAGTATTCGTAGGGTTTCATTAATAGGTATTCCTTGTGGTTGCTTTGAAGACAGCCTTTTTTTTTTTGAGTTGGAGTCTCACTCTGTTACCCAGACTGAAGTGCAGTGGCCGCTTCCGGCCATCGCAGCCTCGACTTGCTGGGCTCCGGCGATCCTTCCGCCTCAGCCTTCCCAGTAGCCGGAATTACAGGCATGCGCTACCACACCCGGCTGATTTTTTTTTGGATTTATTGTAGAGATGAGGTCTCGCTGCCCAGGTGGTTCTTGAACCCGCGGGCTCAGGCAATCCACCCACCTCAGCCTCCCAAAGGCGCGGGATTACAGGCTGAGACCGAGCCCGGCGAAGACAGCCTTTTAACAAGTAAAAACCCCTCCCATCTCTAGAATGATCACTGCTGAACACAGTACTCCAGAGTACCTTCTGCCACTGGGGTTCTCCCAGCACTGGGTGACAGATGCTCCCACACCCATTTCACTGACACACAGATGGGCAGAGAGGCCAGGGTCCATCCCGACTCCTGGGGTCTATGGGCAGCTCCAGTGTCAAGTTCAGGCTCTGTTTGCATGGACACATGGCTGCCTCTGCATTAAAGCTTCTAGGCACGCACACATGCATGGTGCTCCCTCTCCCTCCCTAACCCCTTGAGGCATCCAGAAACAATCCAGTGGGAGTCCCTGCAGTGCCCCACTCAGTTGCCAGGGTGCCAGTGCCGGCCAGGGGTAGGGAGCGCACCAGCCACACCTGCAGGTGTCCCCCTGAAGGTCGACCACTGGTCCACTCCCAGAAACTGGCCTTATCCACCACCTTCCTCATGAGAGGGCAGGCACTGTGGGGGCAGCCTGCGGCCCTTGCCAGGTGGGGAATGGGAGGTGAGCATACCCTGACCTAGGCCATGACCTCTTGAACTCCTAGAATTCTCTGGTTTCCAGAAAGATGACCCAGCTTCACTAGTGCCTTACATCCCTCCTCTGGGGCCCTCCTACTGCTTGGCAATCCCATGGCTCCACAGGTCCCAGGTGGGCAGGCACTGGGGCAAGGGCTCTGCTGCTCTGGCTTCTGGGGGACCCAGAGTTGAAGCTGCTCACCAGGCCGGAGACTTCCTGCCCCTGTGCCGGACAGGTGGGACCAAGCAAGGGCTTTGGGGTTAAACAGACCCAGACCCAAATCCCCAGCCACGTCGCTCACCTGAGCAAGGGACTTAAAACTCTCTGTGCCTCAGTTTCCCCCATTTTTAAAAGGAAAGGACACGCAGCTCTGTTCCTGGGCTTAGAGCAGCGGTTCTCGACTCTCAGGAGCCCTTGGTCACCTAACTCCTGCCCCTGCTGCCTTCCCTCCTGCCTCTGGCCAGATGGCCGGCCTGGTACTGACCTTCCAGCTGGGCTGGGCTGCCCTGGTGGTCAAGAACTGCTGAGAGTTCATCCTCAAAGCTGCTGTGCTTCTTATGCTCACGTGCCCGCTCCTGGGCCCCTGGCATGAGAGGAGGAGGAAGCCTGTGTGCTCCAGCCCTGGCCTGTCTGTCAGGGCGGAGGCTTTCTTACCCCGTCTGCCCCAAGACCCGAGCAGGCATGACCTGGGGAGGAAGTTAGGGCGGCCACACCTCTCCAGACTCAGTTTCCCAGAAAGGCTCGGTGGAGCAGAGGGTCGGGGCAGGAGCGGGAGTGGAAGTTCCCCAACCCAGAGACCCCTCTCCTCACATCACCTGTGTCCCCCCCACCGGTGCCAGGTCCTGATACTCCCCCTTTGCCCTGTGCACCACTTCTCCCATGATGGCATTTCCAGACTCTGGCCTCAGACAGGTGAGGGCTCCAATCTGCTCCTGGTTATTCCTGGCTCTGTGACCCTGAACATCTTGGGCTCACCGATATCTGGCTTTTCATCTATGACACAAGGGGGCTGCATGGCCCATGTGGAGATAGAGACACAAAAGGTATTATGGGAGCTCAGCAGACACAGCTCTGGCCCTCAATAGAGACGCTGATGTGTGTGTGGACATGCTCACATACATGTGTACAGGGTCACGCTGGACAAACAGCTCCAGCCCTCAACAGAGATGCTGACGTGAGTGTTGGACACACAAGGCTGCAGAACACGTCTCCAGAACAGTCTCTGCTGATGCTACCTTTAATTATGTAAGTGTAATAAGCTGGTCATTTGAAGTTTAACTTTAAAATTATCATAAGGTAATAAGCCATTCGATGCTTAATTAAAACACATAACCCAGTATCACTACTGACGTACTAACACCCCAGATAACAGTCACTCCTCCCTGCGTCCACTGAGTGCTGGCCTCCGGCACTTCCACCCGCCACAGAGGTGGGTGCTTGCTAGCTGGGAGGCCTTCAGGGGTCCTGTTGAGGCTGCTTTTCTTACCTCCCCCCGGAATCCCTCTCATGCCCACATGTGATACTGTGGGCCCCTAAGGGCTTAGAGCCCCACCCCAGACATAAGTATAGCCCTAAACACAGGTCCTGCTTCCCTGGGCAGCAGACACTGGATTCACACTAGAGTCCATTCTCAGGGAAAGGTGCAGGGCACCAACAGGCCGTAAAAATGGCCACTTCCTGCAGGAAGTACAGGGAATCTGCCAGGGAGACACAAGCCCAGAACCCCTGTTTTCCATCTTGCCAATGTGGGACTGAGCCTTACATTAAGCCTGGGAGAAGCTGGGGGCTGGGCAGAGTGGCTGACTCTGGGACAACTGCAGCTTAGTCCTTTACCCCAGAGCTGTCCAGATTTGGCTTCAATATCATCAATGACATCAGTGACAAGGAGCTCACTATCCTACAAAGTCACCCTCTAAAGTGGCTGAACTCCAGAGGCTGTGGAGTATTGGGGCGCTGTGTCTGGCAAGGCCCTATTCATTGTGTACCCTTCGACAAGTCATTCAACCTCTCTGAGCTTTGATTTCTTTAACAACATCAATAGCAGCTTGAACCAAGTGGCACAGGGGGCTCCACTTTTCTGCTTCATAATTGAAAGGAAATAACAGTGCCAGAGAGGACCTTGCTCAGCCTTCCCTGGAGACTATCAGTTACTGGGATTTACCCAGCAGAGGCTGGAACATACCTTGGAGAGCGAGGTCCTGGAGCTCCTTCAGTAAGTCCTGATGTCGCAGGATGGAGAGGATCCGCTCGTCTGCAGGGAATGAATCAGACAGTGGTTTCCAGAGCGCAGCCGAGAACAAGATTGCCCTCAGTGTTTTAAGCTGCGCACAAGGAATTTGCTCTGGAAATGAAGCCGGTGGCAGCACCAAGATGGGGCCTTGAGATCATGTGTTTGGAATAGCCTCCATTCCAGGATGCCAGCCAGTCTCCCATCACAGGCCGACCCCATCCAACACCGGGGCCCATCCCAGCACCCAGGGCCATCTCAGAACTCAGACCCATCCCAACACCCAGAGCCCATACCAACACCCGGGTCCCATTCCAACACCCTGGCCCATCCCAACACCCAGGTCCTATCCCAACACCCAGACCCCCCTGGGCCTCATTCCAGCACCTGGGTCCCATTCCGACACCCAGGCCCCATCCCAACACCCGGGCTTGTCCTAACACATGGGCCCTGTCCCAACACCCGGGCCCATCCCAACACCCAGGCCCATCCTGACACCAGGTACCCACCAAGGCTGGCAGCCCCTGAGGGGTAAGCAGGTCTCCCTGAGTGCCATGCTCATGCTGGCTCTTGCTCAGCTATGCTCTCGCCATCTGCTCCACTCGGAGAACCTGCTTTGGTTCCCACCAACTCATCTCCAGTGCTGTTTTAAAACTCAACCAAGTGCACCTGGCTCCCTCCACCAGCTAGTCGAGAGTTGCCTGTCTGGCTGGAAGAACTGTCCTCATGCCTACCCATGACACGCCTTTACTTGTTCACGGCTGGAGGGTGCCCACCAGGTGCCAGAGGCTGTTATGGACATTGGGACATTGCACACAAAACCTGTGTCTACAGGGAGCCATAGCTGGTGGCTTCCATGCCAGCTGATTTAATCCTGCCCAGAATTCCAGCTCATGGTATCCACGTGCATCTCTCTGACAGCCTGTGGGCAACAGGGCTACCACTCCTTTGCCTTCCTGTGTCCCTTGGACCCCACTACTGTGCCTGGCCAAGGCAGACCCTGGTCAGCAACTGTTGAGTTAAAGTATTAACTCCATTAAGGCCACTCACCCATCTCTAGCCCCCAGCCCAGCCCTAGCCCGTACCTCCTCGGAGCGTCTCAAAGCACTCCTGACTGATGGGCATGGGGCTGGGCTTGGCAAGCGTGTCAGAGATGACTTCGACGATGCACCTCATTACCTGCAAGAAGAGTGGGGGCAGGTTGGGGCTGGTCTGGGCCTGGGCAAAATTCTAGCAGGACTGGGGCACTTGCTTTTGGCTTCGGGAGTCCAGGGGTGCCTAACTTGGGGCACAGCTCTGCACTCTGGGCCAGACGCAATGACACTGATGACAGAAGGGCCTTACATGGTGCTCACCAGGTGCAGCAGGCTCCAGTCACAGGGCCATCAGGGCCCTCTAAGGTGGAGTACAGGGAGAGTGGGGTGTCTGTGCCAGGGGTGGATACCTGGCATCTTCCCACTTCCAAGTGCTGCTTCTCCAAATGTGAGAAAGCTGCTCTGGGCACTAGAAGGCTGTCTTACAAAAGTGCTTTGGCCTTGAAGATGCCCAGAGGTCTGATCTTCCAGGAAGTCCTCTGAACTTCTCAGAGGAGACAGAGCCTACTCCAGCCCTACCCTGCTCAGAGGTAGGACCTGGATCACTGTCTCCTCACATTGTTGTCACATGCAAAGGAGTCACCGCTTCAAATCTGGCTCCATCTTCACCCATGGGACAAGGCCCCTAACTGGACATGAGTACGCATGGGCTACGTCTGGTGCCTGTCCCAGGCCAACTGCAGCCATGCCTGAAGGCCTTATCAGTGCCCAGCAAGACACTGTGGGTAATTAGGCAACTGTCCATGAATGTTCCTTGGCGATGGTGTGGTATCCTAGCTGTGTGATCTTGGACTAGTGATTCCTCAGTTTCCTCATTTGTAAAATGGGAGTGAGAACTTTCCCAACTGCCCTCTGGGGTCGTGAGGCACAGATGGAAAGCCCCCTTGCAAGCCTGACAGGTCACCCCATCCAGGGAGGGATTCACAACAGCCCAGAGCTGGGCAGAGGAGCAGGAGGTGTCAGACAGGCATCAAGTAATGTTGGCGGGGAGTAAAGGGGTAGCAGGCTGTGTCTATGGGATGCCAAGGCAATCAGCCCAAGGCTCCAGGTTGACAGGCCCCCAGAGTGTGTACAATCACCATGACTTCAGACGGAGCTTCAGGGCCTAACCAGCTGCTCTGGGCCCCAACCCCAGACTGTTGGCACAGTAAGGTGACTCCGTAAGGGACTCAGCAAGGAAGGTCAGCAACCAGTACCCTGTGTCTCCCTGCAACCCCCAACCCGCGTTGGGAAGCTCAGATAACCCCTGTCCATGAGGGCAGATTCTGGAGACAGAAATTGGACAGGAGTCACAAGAAGTATGGGGAGGCCAATAAGGAAAGCTTTAGGAATAACAGCGCCCATCTACTGGGGACTTGCTACGTGCCAGGCAGTCACATCCACGATTCCTACTCTGCACACCTCCCCTCAAAGGAAAGGGAAGCTCAGAGAAGTTGAGGCATTTTCCCAAGGTTGCACTGCTAGACTAGTGGTAGAGGTTTAAATTCTACCTGATCTGCAACTAAAAAATGGGAAATATAATGGAGTCAGTTGAGGCTGAAATCTCTTAATGTGTTGGGTTGTGACTGTGGCCTCTCATGGAAGAAAACAGTCATGGAAGGGTGAGAATGGACGTTTCTCTGACCCTCAGGTGGGAGTTTACCCAAACACCAGAGCCTGGACAACAGCCCCAGCTCAGACCCGGGTACATTTCAAGTACACAGCCAGAGGAGGGTCCCTTGCTGCTGGTAAAGCCTCTGCTGGTGTCTCCTAGCCTCTCCTGGGTGAGCCCCAGTTGGGAGAGCCAGGCCTGGGTGCCTGTGGGGTGGAAAGGTTGCCAGCAGAGCCTAGCAGAGGAAGGAAGACAGAGGCCAGAGCCAGGCAGGCAAAGGTCACTCTCATGGTTCTGTGGATACCCTCAACCACAGCCCAGGGTGGGCCTGCTGGGTTCACTATTCAAGACTGGAGCCTGGCACCTCGGTGCAGCAGGCTCACACAGCCCCTGTAAACTGCACGTGCACTGAGGAAGCTGGGAAGTCACGCCGTGGGTAGCAGGGAAGGCAACAAGCTTCGCTGTCTGTCTCCCATTGCAAGCTGTCCCCAGGCTCAACCACTGCAGTGCTAGCTCATGGCTGCATGCCAGACTCACTCCTGCAGCGGCCCAGACACTGGCTGCAAGGTGCCCACTGGAGCCTCCTACCCCTGGCGCCCAGCACCCCTTCTTACCTCCATGTCCCCTTTATTCATGGGGCTGTTCACAGGGAGGGCAGTGACTGGGAAGAAAAAGAGAGCACTGGGGTCACTCCTCTGCTCCAAGGGAAGCCCAGTCCCTCCCACGGGGCCCACCAGGGCCACTCACCCAACGCTCTCCCTCAAAGCTGCTCCCACCCAACAGAGAGGCAGGGGCTGATTTTGTTTCTCTTCCAAGGGCTGTGGCCCGTAGGGGATAGTCCAGAGGCTGCACTGGGGCCCTCTTCCCCTGGGAAGGTTCTTGCTCTGGAGGGAACAGAGCTGTGAAACAAGGCCAAGGCTGCAGTGGGGTTGGATGGGGACAGATGCAGGCATGGAGAGACCCCAGAGGAGGGAGCGAGAGATGGAGGGTGCTGGGAGAGGCCGTGTGGAGAGGCAAAAGTCAAGGGCAGAAAGACAGTGAGTGGGGGATGGCAGAGGGGTGTAGGGGCGGCAGCAGCCTCTTGCCACCTCCCCAATGACCTTGGCCGGCCAAGGCGCCTAGCCGGGCAAGGGGTGGTGGCTGGGGGGACCCTGCCTCGCGGGGTGGGTCCCCGGGTCCTGGGCGGAGGCCACAGTGCGGGCCAGGTGGGTGGCGGGCGCTGTCCGCAGTGCTGAAACCTCGCGGCTTCGGCTGGGCGGCGTGGAGGGGCTCGCGGCGTGGTACCGGGACCCCGGGCAGGAGCGGGCGAGGCGCCCGGGGACCCTCCCCTGAGCCCGCGCTCGCTCACCTTGCCCGGCGCAGAGCAGGAGAGCCAGGACTGCGGCGGAGCGCATGGCGGACCGGGACA